ACTCGGAGGGCCGTGGCACTGATAATGTCATGCCTTGTCCACATATCAGCTTCAGTTGTGAACTCAGATTCAACCTCTTAGACGCATTACTGTTCCGTGCTTCGAGTCTTTGCCTGTCTGTGCCCGTTGATAGCGCATTCTGCATCCACCATGGCGATTATGTTGGTCAACTCATTCAGTCCTGAAGCCTGGAAGCTGCTTCTTGGTATCTTTGCCCTTGTCTCCGCCGCATACATCTCCCGCTCGGTCGGCTTCTTCAAATCTAGGAAAGGCGCATCCCTTGGCCTGAAGCCAAGCAACAGCAAGCATGGGAAGTCGTCGAAAGAGCCCGAGCTCTATCAGATGCCCATACCAAGTCCGTACCCAAACTGGTCAATTGAAACAACGAAACCTCTTCCATATCGGGCGTTTCGCTACGGCCCGAAGTACCACGTCACCATGGGCCTAAGGTCGGTCCAACCTGAGGAGTGGATCGAGCTCGACAACCACTTCCCCAAGTACCATGCAGACAAGGTCGCCCGTTTACAGGAAAGGGGCTCAAAGGTTGTCGGAACTCACCCCGACGCCTACGCTGCTGCGATGGAATTACTTGAGGAGTTGATGCAGTACCTGCCGAACCGATACCCCACGTTGTTCAAGCGCACTGCCGTGGGTATCGACAATATCTGGTCCGGCGAATCATTCAATATCGTCGAGAAGCCGCTTGCAGAGGACCCCATGGCCATCGCAGCTAAGCTGGTGCAAGATGACCTGGCCATCATGATGGAACGCCCCGATGGCCAGTACTATCTTCTTGCTGGAGCAATCTGTCTTGCAGGCTTCTGGAGGCTTGAAGATAAATACGGCAAGTCTCTTGAAGAGATCCACACATCCGGAGACGTACCGCACTACAAGGAGAAGCTGCACAACGGCATGGCAAGCTTCTTCAGACGCCTGCGATGCGATCAGATTTACTCACGTAACAACTACTTCATCCAAGTCGATGACTCACTTCCATGGAGCTGGAGCATCGGTGGCGAAGACGACCCTGTTGTGAGCTGGAGCACAGCTGAGAAGAACAAGGCCATCGAGAATCACTTCTTCCGCTCCGAGCGACAGTCTCTACGTCGCTTGCCAAAGAGTCGTGCCGTCGTTTTCACGATCCGGACTTATTTCCACCCCGTCACCGAACTGGCTGCGGAAGACTACGTTCCGGGAAGGCTTGCGAGTGCTGTTCGTAGCTGGGATGACACTGTTGCCAACTACAAGGGCCGAGAGATGTATGAGAAGGTTTTGTTGGAGTACCTTGACAACGAGCATCAAAAACAGCTTGATAGGGGTTTGGATCTGGAAAAGGAGGATGAGGTTCGGAAATATCCTTGGTGAGAGTTCCGTAATGAGGAAATGCAATTTCGGGGGATTACGTCTGCGTAGCTCTTTCCAGCGTCATTGGCCATTGTCATTGCAGAGATTTGTAGCATTCCTTCTTGATACCTTCTGGGTCTTGGTGCAGACCTGTACAACATGGAGCGAAGCATATATATCACGCTAGAAGTTCTTATCAAAATCTCTTGTGTGCCGTTTCTCTGAGATGTATTCCATGCTGGACGTGTTCAAGGTGGGCTGGTAGAGTGAAGTGGCCATTAAGCTTAACCGAGCCAAATAACACGACTATTTCATCAAGTTGTTTTCCATCTTCGGGTCTCTTGTCATCCAGCCCGGATTAAAGGGCCTAGTACCTCAGTGTCATCATGGTGTGCAAAGAAGATCTTCAGATATAGAGAGAGGGTTCGGCAGCTTGCGGGTGGGGGAAATAAAAGTAAGTGTAAGATTCCATTTTCTTCTTCTGCCCTGGTCAGGTACTAAGAATTACCCAATGCAGCTGGTGCAGAAGCCTAAATCCAAGCTTAAAAAGCCACTCGGGTGGCTGGAACACTCAGGATCGGTTGCTGTAGCCGAGAGAATGCCCGCAGAAAAAACGTATGATCAATCTGCCCGGGGCAAACATGCAGTGAGCCGCTTCCAACCAGTTCACGCTCGTTTCTGCAGACAAACGAGCTCGCACAAATACGCGAGTCCAATCATGCAAAGGTACCTCAGACATGCAATGATCACCAGTGACCACAACAACACTCACAGCTGGGTACCAGACCCAAGCAACCCGTTGATGTTTCTGGATTTTGATTCGCGAAGGGACTTTGGCTGCTCACAAAGGTTCCCGTGTACATGCTTGGGGTCACATCGCCACATGCAGTAGTGTACACCCGCCGGCGAGTTTGCCCGATCGACAACCTACCCCGGAGTCCGGTCCGTCCGAGAGCGGATCTGCCGTCAGATTGCAAAAGACCGCTGGAATTGAGAATGTGTAGCCGTCGGGTAGAGAAGGTTCAAACTGTTGGGGCGGGAAAACTTGGACGGGGTTGGGCAATAATGCCAAGAGGTTACGACATCACTTCCACCTGCCTTTTTCATCACCCTAAGCAATCGATGGCCTGCATCTGGGCTCAGCCACCGGTACTTGCGGGTAACTGAGGCAAAACTCTATTGATCAGTACATGACCCTATTTGAACGACTGTTTTCGCCATTCCTTGGCTTCTGCAGGCCGCGCATGATGATGACAGGCGAGGAGGCACAAGATGCAGAGCCACAGATGATCTACCCCGCTGTGGTAAGACTTGGATCTTTTGTAATGCACATTTAATATCGCGTCGTACTTTGTTTGGGGCCCAGTAGATCAACGGCGTATGTATAAAAGGCCCCATGGATTGCTCGTTGTGACCCCCAGACTTTGATTGTCACGCTCAACGTCCACACTCTGAACCCACAGTCGGTGCTTGTTCCCAGCCTCACTTGGCATCATACCGTCCAATTTCAAGATGAGAACCGCACATCTGGCTCTGGCCGTCAGCGCCCTGTCGGGGGCTGCCGTTGCCAAGGAACTGGAACCCAACGCTGAACTGTCAGCTTGGTACGATACTGGTGCCGCTCATCAGGAAAGCATGGAACACAAGCTGGTGAGTCACTTTGGTTCTGAATAAAAGGTCACAAGACATTACTGACCGTGAATAGGCCCAGTGGAAGGAGTTTGAAGCCGAGGGCAGGTTCGAGTCTGCTAAATGCACGGCCCGCCCGAAGGATTACATCGCTTGCAAGGACGGCAAGGTTGAATTGGTCAAGGGGGATCCTCTCCAGACTTTCAGGTGCAAGGATGTAAGCCAAACTCCATTGTGAAATTTCATGAGTTGCCATTCTAACGCCCTTTAGCTTGATCTTTACGATTTCCAGTCCCACGCTGCGTTGGGCAACTCGACTGGCAGGGGATCAGGCTCCTGGGGTTGGACAGCGCCTAACGGACGGGAGTTCTTTGCCGTTGGGCAATACGATGGAGCTGCTTTCGTCGAGATCTCTAAGCAGGGCAAGCTTATCTACCTCGGCCGTCTTCCCCAGTACTCCGTTCCCAGCCAGTGGCGCGAGATCAAAACTTATAAGAACTATCTTGTTGTCGGCAGCGAGGCTGTTGACCACGGCGTCCAGTTCTTTGATCTACGAAAGGTTTGTCCACCATATTACCAAACTGGTCTGGATTCGACTAACCTCGCTGAAGCTTCTGGATATCGACCCGAAGAACCCCATCACCTTCTCTCAAAGCGACTTGACGGCGCATTGGAGCGAGGCTCTCCCCTTGGGTCGCAGCCACAACGTTGTGGTCAACGAAGAGAAGGGCTATGCCGTCGCTGTCGGTGCTCAGCCCCGCAAGAACCTGCCTTGTGATTCAGGGCTTCAGTTCCTGGATCTTGCCGATATTGCAAACCCTCAATACCTTGGATGTGCTGCTGGCGATGGCTACGTTCACGACGCGCAGTGCATCGTTTATCGAGGACCTGATGTCAAGTACTGGGGCCGCGATATCTGCTACGGCTACAATGAGGACACTTTGACCATGTAAGTCGCGCGCATTGAGCCAACTTCTTAAGAACACTGGTTGCTGACGCTCCTTTCTTAGCTACGATGTTACCGACAAAAACACCACCAACATCATCTCGCGCACTTCCTACGAGGGTGCTACGTACACTCATCAGGGCTGGATTATTGACCCCAACTGGCAAGATTTCCTCGTGCTGGACGATGAAATCGATGAGCGGAACAAGACTGGCCCCGCAGCCGATGGGTTCCCCGTCACGTACTTCTGGGATATCAGGAGTCTTGCATCACCGCGCCAGACTGGTATTTTCAAGGTAAGTCCTTCGATGTCCGGTTTCTAACCACGGATTCTGACCATGATGTTGAAGGGAACCGTGCGAAGCGTTGACCACAACCAATACATCAACCGCGGTCTGTCTTACCAGAGCAACTACGGTGCTGGTCTGCGTATCTTGGATATTTCATCTATCCGAAAGGATCCTACCGCTAAGGGTGTCAAGGAGATTGCCTACTTTGACATCTATCCCGAGGATGATCAGGAGGAGGGTGGTGGTTTGAACAACTACGTCGGTACTTGGAGTCACTACCCCTTCTTCAAGAGCGGCTACATTGTAATCAACACTATGGAGCGTGGCGTTTGGGTTGTCAAGCGATCCAACCCTTGGTGGTGGCCTTGGTAAGGTTTGACGCAACCAAGACGCAGCCAGTTGAGCACACTGCGAAACACACTCTGCAGAAACTTCTCTTCGTGTAAATAGTATAGCTTCAAGAGCCACTCTGAAGTTTCTGTTCTTCTCAAAGTTTTTATTCATGTCAAGTAAGCCGACCGGCCGTACCGAAAGTTACCACAACGATGAAGCACTCCTAACTGTGAGGGTCATTCCGATTCAAAAGAGCTTTACCTGCGCCAGAAAAATCTCAGAAGAGTGTTCGTAGCTTACAGCGAAAGCAAGTGGGAATAAGCGAGTGGCCAGTCAGTACTTCAGCGTTGACTTGCTGATGTTATTTTCACAATGTTGGGCAGGCTGTCACTTTCTTTTGGCATGTTTACATCCAGCTCAAATCATTTAGCAGTTCGATGTGATATGATATTTGGTGTTTAGCCTTTGATAGCCTTTGCGAGAGGCTCGTACCAAGCATTAGCCAGCCGCTCATCCCCTTTATCATTCGGATGAACTCCATCTCGTGTCATTGCTTTGACATCAAAATCTTTATGACAGTCAACTACCGTAATAGGACTTTTGTCGTTGGATTTCGTCGGTGCCCATTCCACGACAGCGTTGTTCAGAGTCTCAACTCTTCGTCCACACTCCGGACAACCATCAGGGTTTAATGGAATTATCTGAGCAACCTGAAAGCAGTCAGTTGTAACCAACTAAGAAAGTCCTTTGGGTTCCCGTTCACTCACCAGTATCTTCATCGTGTCTTTGCTCGATCTCATCTGATCCACCAACTTGTCAAATGCCTGGATAGTGTCCTCCGGCCTCCTGTTGCTCCACGCATCATTCGTGCCCAGGTGCATCATGACAATGTCTGGTTTTGTTTCTTTCAACCATCCATCAAGCAAGTTCTGACTGGCAATGTCTGCAGCCAGCATCCCACCGTGACCCTCATTCTCTCCATCATAGTCGAACCCGCAACCCTGCGGCTTCTGTGTCCCAACAAAGTCGGTGTTCTTGATATTGTTGTCTTGAAGCTTCTTCCACAACAATGCTCTCCAACAACCCTTGTTGGCGTCAGTTACTAAATCCGAGTCTCGATCCTGAAGAGCTTACTGGATTGCCTGTGATCGAATCCCCGAGAGGCATGATTTTAACCTTATCTTCAGCTGAGACGCCCCATAATTGGAGCAAACTCAGAGCAACCACCACGGGTTTTCCGAGAAACATTGCTGGAAAATGGTCTGCCAAGCAGAATTGGCTAATCAGGAAATGAGTCAGGGATTTCTCAAGTAAACCCGAATGTGGGGTGAGTTTGGTTCTTATTGTTCTACATCGGAAATCGTGCAACAGTTGCGGGAAGTATCTGGCAGCCAGGTCCTCGTATTTCTGCTCCTCAATAGTATGCGGCTGTGGCATCCTACCTTATGCGGCGATCCTTCTATGTCGCGCTGGCGGAATATTGAAGGGTCTATCCTAGATCAGACCACAATTTTCCGACAAAGCTTGGCCGTTTCCATGGTTAACCTGCACTTTAGTTGGGGCTTACTTTTGCGGAAGCACGGTACCCGACATTCGATGTATCGAATGATTGAGCCTCATCCTACAAGACTTCGGACGATTCGTTTCTCACAACACGAGGATCGGCGGAATCCCCCACGCATCCAGATTCCAAGATCAACTGTAAGACGTAGTGCTTCATCTTGACTCGTCAAAGGCCGAGAAGGCCGTGAAGGCGTCTATGTACAAGCCACTCGCGGCAAATCAAGAAGAGTTGATTGCCTTGACATGGTCAACCACCAGACACTGATAATCGCTGCTGCCGTGGTAGATTGTGAATCCGTCATTGTGCGTCTGTCCCGAACTAAGTTGGTCTCCCCACTGCCAGAACAAATCAGCTCCCAAGCCAGACGCAGTACGCGACACCTGTTGCCATGCCTTCTCGATATTGCAGTGGTCACTCAGGGAACCGTCTCCTTGGCATTAGCTTTTGTTTTGGTCATTTTTGACAGGGGGGAACCTTACACTCTTCGAATAAGCAGGGCTTCCCCGCTTTGGCGCATGCCTCACCATGGGACTTGATCCAGCCAGGGGACCACGTTTTCAGATCCACGCCCCCTGAACACCATTGTCAGCTCAGTTATTCGGATTAGTTAGGCAGTATAACTCACAATGGTCAGGATACATGTGGAAAGTGCCGAAGTCGAGGGTCTTGATGCCGAGATTCTTGACGAAGTCCGTCCCCTCGCCGTACTGGTATGGGTAGCTACCATCTCCAGGCAGGCCCATTCCCTCGTCACCGAGAGTGACCATGTGGTTGGAGTCGAGCGATTTGACGAATTTGGAAGATGACTCCGCCCACTTGTAGATCACGTCTGTGCTGCATCCTTTGCACCTGGGCTCATTCGCAAGTTCCCAGGCGAAAATGGCGGAGGAGCTCTTGTAGCGGCTTACAACCGCTCGGACATAGGCCTGGTACTGGGCTTGAGCGGCGGTGTTCGTATACCAGCTCTCCTTCGAGCCCCCAAACGCCTTCACGTAAGCGCTTAATCCGCCGTAGTCATCCCAGAAGTTGACAAAGTTGATGATGAGTTTCACTCCCTTCCGCTCTGCAGCAGAAACCACGGCATCGAGGCGCTGCAGGCCGTTCGCCTCTGTATTAATCTGAGACCCAGAGGCCGATAGATACTGATACCAGACCTGGTTGTTGCCGGGGATCGTGTTGACATCATTGAAGCCCCAGACACGGAATATCTTGAGACCTGATTTCGCGACGTTGTCCATGACAAGGTCAACATCGGCATTGTTCGTCAGGAACGAGATCCAATAGGAGTTGCTGCCGGCGAAGTATTTGGTTTGCCCATCTATGGTGAACCGCGTCCCACTTGCCGACGGGAAGCTTCCAGCTTGCCTGGGCTCCGGGACAGCAAGAGATTGGACGCAGGCCAAGCTGCTCAGAATCGCGACGAGGTGGGCCTTCATGATCGGCAGTGGCGGTTGTCGAGTCCTACGAACCTAAAGAACATGAGATGGTGCGTGCAGCCCCGACATCTCGGCCGGCTATATATGATTTTACAAGCTTGGAAGAAACGGTTAAGTTTGTTCTATCTTCTTGGGACGTTTTCAGGGGGCGTCACACGAGCATCTGGCAGCAACCCGAGTTCACCGGCAATTCATTTCGATACATCAAAAGATCTCGTATTGACGGTGATTTGATCCCGTAAGAGAGATCGGCGTCTTGGTGAGCGTGAGCGCCGCAAATAAAGCTCGCCGAGACGGCACAAGCCTGATTCGGGGGCGGAGGGGAGACTTCCGTCCGTCCTCTTCGGTGCATTTGTGGGGCTGATGGCGGCGCGCCCAGACACCAGTTGCCATTCCGGGGTTGGAAGCGGGGCCTCGGCCCAACGGAGTCGGGACCGATGCCAGCGGGTGCCCCGAGTATCTGATTTTTGGGGAACCATCATGGCCTCCGCTACATCCGGCGGGATACTACTGTGTATCGAGATGAGATGATAGTATAAGTTTCTTGCTAGTTTCGGGATCGCTGATTAGTACCGGAAGGGGCTAAAAGGTAAGTAATTGTAACTGCGTGAAGCGATGATGGGACTGCGTCGAGGAGGAGACTGATGCTAATTCCCATTTCACAAGAGGAAGTGTTTTCGATCCGGCTCGTTCAGTCTCAGTTGAATTAACTCTGAAGCTCATTTCTCATGTGAAAGCGGTGGTTTCAGTGCAGGATAGGCCATGGACGTTGCCTCGGCGTAGCGCCCTTTCTGATTGAATTAGTCGATGTAAACCGCCTACCATTTGAAGTGTTTATTAATCACTTCTTTACAAACGATATCAACATGAGATTACATTTCATAGTTTCAAGATAGAACATAACTCTAACAAAAATAAGTCTCAAGTACTAGCAAAGCGCCGCCAGTCTAGACACATATGTGACCCAATTGCACACTCCCGACGCTTTCTATTACCTCAGGGTCGTTTTCGAGTCATGATTAGCTGCGTGTGGAACAAGATTGGCTGATATTGAGTGCCAAAAGAGTAGCCCTGCTCATCCTACACCGCAAAGTAGCCCTTGTAGCGCTGAGCTGAAAAGCTTTTCTCCCTAAGCGTCGTGTGCACTTCTGAATCAACGATTCAGTTAACGCTTACACTACCTGCCGGGTATCCTCATCATATCCTAAGCTCGTGGTCTTAGCGTGCGTATCCGCCACTAAGGCGCGTCTACCGCTGGTGCCGCCATGTCATCCGTGGAACGGTGGATAATGAGCGGGACGGAAAACATGCAGCTTCAAAGTAAGATCCTTCCCTGCACTAGTTCTCTTCACGATTTCGTCATCGCAACAAGTTTCAAGCTTATATGCGCGTACGTGGCAGTTTGAGGCCGGAGAGAACGTTTCTGTGGAAAGCAGGAATCAGGTCGCTGAACTCGCTCATAAGTCCCTCTGCCTACAAACACATGGAACTCCTCGGAATGTCGTGGGTTGCTCGGGGTTTGAGAGTGTTCAGCTCATGACAGATAGCTTTGGAGGTTTGGCTTGTCAGCCAGCCACCGCACGTAGACACAGGGAACGCTAAGTAACTGCACAACCTTGAGCCACTAGAGGATTCTTGGTATTCTATCAAATCAACTTTGCGCACGTAGCAGTGCGCAGCGGTATCTCGATGATCTTAGATAATTGGCCGAATGAGGAACCTTATCTGCGATACTTAATTTCAAGACCACGTGAGCTTTGCGTTTGCCTACACCGAAAAGAGCCCAGTCATACGACCGTGAAACGGCAATGTTTACGCTCTAGCCTAAGTGGAAGGCTGGCCTTGTGCCAATGGTGATCAGAAGCTGAGATAACCGTTCGCGACGCAGGCGAAACTGATTGGACACTTGAAAGTAGAGTCTAGGGATAGAGTCTAGGCTTGCTTTGAGTTGCGGTACCTTGCAGAAATTTCAAATCGCTCTCGGAACGGTTTCTTCTGTCTAACCAAGGGAAGCCTTACGGAAACCCAACACGGCGCTAGTGAAGCAGTGTTGCGCGGCTTACTTTGAGCTTTGTTCAGGTTAAGCTGGATCCGGACCCGGGCCATTCCAGCGGCTCCGGGTTCTTGGGGGTCGGGAAGACCGGACGAGACGGCGACATTGGGGCCCGCCCTGCTGTGTGTACAAAAGGACCGCGGGATCTGCGTGCCCAAGCTTCGAAAGTTACCGAGCGGCCCTGCATCAACCGTCCCAAGTGGCTGGGAGCAGCCATAGTCAGGAAGCCTCCACCTCGGCAAATCTGTTCACAAATCAGGAGACTTCTACCAGGCGGACGCTCCCCCGAGAGTATCACGCCTGGGGTTCCAAGATCGACAAGACACCCACCGCGATATTGGTCGCACTTTCGATCCCCTTTGATAACCTAAATCGGCGGGTCGAAACTTAAGGCGGGGAAGGGACGGGGCGTTTCTTGGCCCAGGGCCGCTTGGCATCTTAAACTCTAGCCCAACGTTACGAATACCTGATAATCTTTGACCATCTATTGGCTCCGGTCATCTCCCCGCAGCGGGAGATGTACGTGGCCCGCGAGGATAAGCTCTGCAAGTGGTTGCCCGTTCCAGCTAGTTGGGCTCGGGGCCGAGTCTAAAGTTGCCCACTTGCGCCCTACCCCGCGTGCCGACTCACCTCGCTGGACCCTTTGCGCACCGTCTGAGTCGTGGAGTGGCACCCGTGGGATATCTCAGGGGCAGGAATAGTCGCTGTCAGAAACAATCGACATGAACGCCCGCTCGCTATCGGTTGCTTTCCTGGGCCGCGACGGAAGCGGGCGACTCAAGCTTTTCCATCTGATCTAAGCCGGAACGCACAACTAGAAAGCTTACCCGTTCCAAACCCTTGAACTATCCAACGGCCATCTTGGAGTCCGTTGATACGGCAAACGCATCTCAACATGCCGTACAATCGCCGGCGCCGTCCGCCTCGTTTTCGGTCGTGGGAAGGTCAACACCAAGATCAGATCCACTAGACGACGATGTGCCGACTACACCTAGAGCTGAGGTCCAGGCCGTCTCAGACCACCAACTTAACCTTATCACGCATCTTTTAGACTTATTCACTAGTGCCACTAGAGAGCTGGTTATTGTGGGAAGGGGATTTCCTGCGAGCTGCGAAAGTGGGAATCAGCATAGAGACTGAAGTATTAAAGACATCATGACCTTCCTATCGTTATCAAGTCGTGTACGGTAGGTCTACCTACGACTTCCTCGCCTTCAATACTTTGGTAGCCTTCACCACTTCCTACGACTCAACTCATCATGCCCTCTGTCAAGTCTCTTATCCTTGCCCTGCTCGTCTCTGGCGGCTTGGCGGCACCCCTCGTCAAGCGCCTCGACAGCCAGGACGATGCTCTCAGCTCTGCCATCTCTTCGCTCCAGTCTCGGGCCGAGGAGATCGACGAGGAGACCCCTGGCCTCCAAGCCCGTCAAGTTAACCCCAACCAGCCGGCTCCCCCAGCTGCTGCCCCTCCCGCTACCACCGATGATGGTGAGTGGGAGTACTACGAGGTAGAAGCACGCGATCTTAGTGCTGAGAACCTCGGTGAAGAGGAGGGCAACGTCCTCTCCGCGCGCGCCAACAACAAGGGCAACAGCAAACCTAAGCCGAACAATAACAGCAAAGTTCCCCCTTCTCAGACTAGCCTCGGCAAGCAGAAGCAGAAGGAGAAGGCTGAGCTGAACGATATTAGAAAGGACCAAAAGGCGCAAAAGCAAAAGACGAATTTCAGTGAAGATAAAGAACGGAAGGAGATTGCGGACGCCCGTGCGCGTCAAAAGGGCGCCAAAACCGCATCAGCGAAGGAGGCCGCCAGACTCGACAAGAACAAGGAAATTAAGGAGTTGAACGATGCGAAAAAGAAGAACGCTGCAGAGAAGGCCGCGCTCCAGCGCCAGAAGGATAAGGAGAACAAGGAGTTGGCCGAGATCAAGAAGAAGGAGAAGCAGAATGGGCGCTTCGTTGACACCCCTGATTCGCACACGACTACTACCTACAAACCCAAGACGCCACCTCCCCAATCTAACGGCAAGCCCTATGATCCCTACGTGATTGGTTACAAGGACCCAGATTACTACTACAACCGGAGACTCAATGGCAGGTCGTCTTCTTCTGGCCGGTCGAAGTCTGACCAGTATATCAAAGATCAGCAGAAGAACCGCGATCGTGAAGATGAACGCATTCGGAAAGCTCAGTATGACCGACAGAGAACTGAGGGCAAGTTGAAAGACCAGGAGTACGCCCGCCAACGTGAGGAGGAGCGCATTCGCAAGGCTCAGTACGACAAGCAAAACTCTGACTCGGCAAAGCAACGTGCTAAGGATGATGAGCGCATTCGCAAGGCTGAGTATGACAGACAGCGCACTGAGGGAAAGCTCAAGGATCAGGAGTACGCACGTCAGAGGGAGGAAGAAAGAATTCGCGATGGGCAGTATGACAAGAAGAAGACCGATCAGTTGATCAGAGAGAAAGAACGACAGCGCGAGCGCGAGAGGCAGAGTGGTTATGGTTACAACCACAAGCGCGCTGTCCAATAAGAGAGCAAGGTTGGTATGATGTAGCGCCGGAGGGCGTTGAGGTGTTGTGCACGAGATGTGGCTCGAGCATGCTGACGGTGTTGCCGTGTAGTCTGATGAGGAGCGTCGAAGAGAAGAAGCAAGGCGCAGAGAGGAAGCGAAGCGTCGTGAAGATGCGAAGAGGCGAGAGGACGCGAGGCGTCGGGAGCAGAAGGCTCGTGAGGAGCAACGACGTCGAGAGGAGGCAAAACGTCGAGAAGAGCAGCGACGCCGAGAGGAGCAGAGGCGACGTGAAGAGGAGCGACGCAAGAAGCGACCCGGGGCTGACATTCCAGTTGTTCCAGTTAATGCTTAACGAAGGCAGGAGGTGTTGATTTGTGAGCTGCACTTGGGAAGGGTGTGAGGTTCGCCATTTTGGGCGGGGCGTTTTTGTGTGGTACATGTTTTGTCTTGGGGCTCGTTTTCTACCGTTCGCTACGACATAAGTCACGAATTATGATGAATCTCGCAAAATTCTCTGGTGTCCCGTGAGAGTTGTATCGTGATATGTGTTGATCTACAAACACGAGTTCGCAGTCCGCGAGGAAGAAAGGTTCCAAAGATTGTAAGTGCCCTGTTAGGGCTTGGGACGACATCTGATACCGACAGGACCCCAATGTCCACTGGACTTTGAGAAAAGAGAATGTTGATGGGAAGTAAGAAACTCTGTTGTCGGCTCTGTGTTTCATTCCTCTAAGATGTGGTCTTGGCCTTAACTCGTGGAAGGTACCTTATCCAAATGGCGATCCACCTTACATCAAAAGTCCATGAGATACCGTCATCTCCTACCCAAGGGCTTTCGCGCAAGTTTCGCAATTTTCATCTTCATCTACATATATCCTTTGCTCACTAGACAGTTCCGGGAGTCCGGGTTGAGAACGTCATAAGGCTGGAATCTCATCCTGCGCAATAGGAATAACTGGTTGTGTGCAAGGGTCCGAATCCTCCATACCAGGCCAGGGAGGCCGATCCTAAAAAAAAAAAAAAAGAAAAGAAAAAAAAAAAGGAACGATTCAGACACACGCAGGTATTCAATTCTTTTAGTTATTAGGGGCGGCCGCTCACTGAAATGTCGTTTTGCTGGTCACCCTGCGCCACCAGACAGCCTGACCGGAATTAGGACCTGCAAGACGAAGAGAACGGCAGTGGAGTTGCCGATCAGTCTCATCGCTATCAGTTATTCCAGATGGCCCCGCGGCGCAGCACCGAACAGCTGCTTGAATTCCTGAAATGATCGCTAAACGATGCCTATCATCTTACTCTGCCGTCTTATTTGCAGTAGCGCCATTCCTCCGAACGGCATCCGACTGTGTAATGACGGCAAGCATAGCTGCCCCTGTCGATGCTCATGACGATGTTTGGTTGGAGTTCGCGCGTGAATGAACCCCTGTCAGTTGCATTAGGCAGCACTCGACGCGATGAAAATCCTGACTCTCCACGCTGACAGTGATAAGAGGCGGACAGCCGCATTTGCTGTGCCACAGGTTCAATTGAATTGAAACTGGCCCCTCTCTTCTGTAGCTTACTCCGTACTCAGTGTTCCGTTCTCGGGCGATTCAAGTCCGCTTAATTAAGCCATGTCATGACAGCACCGTCTCATAGGTGTCGAACAGAATTGAGACCACTCAATCCCACTAGGGTTGTCGAAGATGGATTCTGATTCAAAAACGTCCACCGGCTTCAGTGCCGTTCTCTCCACGAAATCCTTTGCCCCGCTTCTCATCGACGACAGCTCCTCACTTGGCAAGAAGACCGCGCGATCCAAACGCCGATGCGCCGACCTGGGGTCAAAGCTATGGGACAAACAAGCTTGGAAGAAGGCTGTCATCGCCGCTGTTCAGGACTTAATAGACTTCAATTGGGTTATCGCGATCAGCTGGTTGTTCCTCTTTGGTTGGATCGCTGGCCTGGGGGTTCTACTGAGTGTCGTCATCCAGCAGCCCCAGACCATCACGGACTCTGACAACACCGCATGTCAGCCAGATGGAAGCTTCAACATTTTCAGAAACGAATATGACTGGTGGGCTGCTTCTGGCTTCTTCCAGATCACAATGGCATGGGGAACTATGACTTTCGCAAATGCCAAATTTGTTGATGTCGCGTGGGACGTGGTAAAACTGTTGCCTCCCCAGCTTACCCTGCAAGCATCTGACAGCTCATAGGTTTTTGGCCGAGGAGGCCAGGCTCTTCTGGCTTGGATCTCTTGGAGCATCTTCTCCGATTATGTCACAACATCGATGGAAGTCAGCCCGGTTACGTACGAGACGTTTTGGACTGTGTTCCTAGACGGGTCACCGACTTTCTGGTCTACTTGGTACTTGATGCGAGACTTTAGCCGCTCTCACGGGCTACGTTCACGATTCGCTATGGTATTCATGGTCGTTGTTGCAATTTTCATCCTCTTGTTCCCTACGCTTGGTAGCGCAATGTCCGGATATCAGGCGAACAGCGGTGCTTTCATTAGGGGAGCCGACGGAGAAATGCTCAAGTTTTCGGATTTCGACATGATTGCCTACATCATACATGATGGTGAACGGGTCAATCTGACCAAAGATTATCCAGTTACATTTGCGAGGAGCAACTACGACAGTAAGCATTCCGACTCTCAAGGCTTGGACTCTTCCTTATCAGGCAGCGCAACTGACAGCTTGAAGCGGAACAACTCCTAGGCAATACCTTGGGCGAATACTATCCCAATTCGTGGTACAGTTGGAGCTTCTACGGCTCATACAACTGCGAGGAGGACCAGGAGTACAGTAACGAAGAACGCAATAAGCTGTGGCAGGAGCGTTACCCACTCAACTGCCGATGTTCTTTGCATGGAAGCGTTTCCAACTGTGAGACCGACGCAGCGATCTATGTTTTAGAAACAATGCTGATGTGGCTGTATAGATACAAAGGAACACGGTTTCTTTGGACTCAAAAACGTCAATTCGACCTTCATGAATCAGACTCTGTCATCCCCGACGTTGAATATTTCGGCATTCTACATTCCGGAGAGGTACAGCACAATATTTGGCAATAACTGGACAGATCCGAGAACAAACACGCAGCCATTCAGCGATAGAAGCAAAGTCACGTACACCTATAACATAGGGAACGACACGTACGACCTCAACTACATCAGATCAAACGGCACGTGCCAGCCTGTGACGGAGATAGACAAAATCAACGCCTCGGCTCGAGAAACGTATCAATGGGGCTTCTCGTATATCCAACTCTTCATCATGTTACTGCTGTTGATTCTATGGACCTTTGGAATGTCAGCGATGTGGGTCAAATCTCATATGACCATGAGAATGCGTGGTCGATTCGACAAGCCAAAGGGCTTCAAGGGGGTTCTGGAACTTGCCGCAGCTATCAGGACAGAATTGCAGGAAAGCAATCCCGACGACCTCAACCACGATCAGCTCTCTGAAGAGATCAAGAAGCGTCTCAGGGGCGGAACTATCGAACTCGAAAAGGCAGGATCATCGGCCATGTATGGCGTGTGGGGAGGCCTCTGGGGCTGGATCAAGAACTGGAGATGGTGGGCAACGACTTGGTGCTTGTTGACTGCAATTGGCTCTCTTCTTATCACCTACAGAGGCGGTGTGTTCTTGTGGATCATGATCCTTTCGGCCTCTATGTTTTTCGCAATGGTCATTGGACGTTCGTCGAAGAGCAAGGCTATGTTATCACTATGGGGTTTTGTACTGGGCATTATTATCTGGGTTGCAGTCATGTCGGCTTTGCAGCAGCGCGGCATGTTCGATATGTATTATTAGTAGATCAACATGTTCATGAGAACAGCCAAGTGACGGTGTGTTCGCATTTTGGACATTTTGGATGGTCATCATAGTCCCTGCAATTAGTATCAATTGATCAGGCAATAACCCCATCATTTTGTGTACCATTCACAGCGCGTGTGTCATTGGAACCAAATGTGTTGCCTCAAGAAGTGAATTATCATTAATCGTCTATCCAATACGCTAAAAAGGACGTCTCGTGCTGTTTGCCCGTGTACTAGTTGGCGACACCATGTCGTCGATATTAGATATCTGCTTTCGTAATGCAGTCGGACTCTGTGTAAAATTGTCACGGTCGCTGATGGCCGACACAGCAGTGTCTTGCCTCCTCGCGGGCGGCCGATTTGCCAATACCGGCGGCTGTGGTGGCATTGGCGAAGTATCCGCCAACTCGTAACTTTCGCCTTCCTCTGGTGATTGGGAGTAATATGTCATATTCTCTCCTTGTATAGAATTCATGCGGGGCCACTCCGACGCTCTTGAATATGCAGGAGCGGGCTCTTCTAGCTCTGCTCGCCTTGCGCCCATGTCGCCCTCGAGCTCCATGTGGTTATCCGGATTTACGGCGTGGTAGTTTTGGTACCCAGCAAACCTGGTTGTCGATGACTTGGAGTCTGGGGCGTCCCGTTTTTCTGATCGAGGGATGGCCCTCGTTCCAGCAACCCCGGCGGCATTGGGGTTCCGCTTGCGATTCTTCAACCAGAACCACAGCGCGACGAAGAAGATCAAGGCAGCACCAATGGCTACTGGAACACCGACTTTGACACCCATTGCAGTTCCTCCACTGGTACCGCTACTCGTGCCATTGCAAGTTGATGTGATGTTGTCTGCCAATGTGCCATTTGCGACTTGAGGGCTCAGCCAGAACTTGCCCGCGGCGTAATCGACATGCAGATAGTTCTGGGAGAGGAAAACACCTCCAAGAATAGGGACATTGTTGCCCAAATCGCTCAGACCTGAACCGACGGTGGCCTGAATGTGGGTGTTGTTCGTAACGGCATATCTACCACGAGAGTCGGTTCCACGCTCGTGGGAAACCAACTCGTAGTGAGGAATGACGGTGGTGTAGCCATTCGTGAGTTTGATTGTGAGGGTCCCGATCATGGACTCGAGGCTGGATGGATACGTCGACTGGCCGTATGTGGTACCGTTGAACGTTGTGGTATGGTTGGTGAAATTTTGGAATCGAGAGAACATGTTCGGAGTGAAAGTAAAGTCGTTTTGAACCGTGTCGATACAGGCGGAAACTCGTGTGCCGATGTCGCTGAAGAGCGAGTGGTCGCCGTCTTCGTTCGTTAGAACGATGTCGGAAATGAGAACCTGCAGAGGACACGGCACAGACGCACCCGCTCCCCACATGTTGAACTCGGTCTTCTTCGTCTCGTTGAAACGCGCTTCGTTGACACCGCCGAAAACAAGCTGGCCATCACGGGGGTAGAGCTCGGAGGTTGAGCCGTAATCCAAGCTCCAAGCCGAAGTCGGTGCGATATTGTGGTCGACGAGCAGATCAATCGTGGAAGATTCGGGACCAAGTGCCAGAGCACTCTTGTTCATGGAGTCATAGTCCGCCCAGATCTCGAAAGGGTAACCGTAGACCACTGCCGGGCCATCCGTGAAGTTGGCGGTGTCGTATCCATGGAGGACGGTTGTGACGCCATCAGCAGGTTGTGCATCAACTACTCTGTGCAAGAAGTCAGCAAGTAATGACGCACTGCGTGGGAATAGGCCACCTACGAGACATTCCAGTCCTTGATATTGTAAACTTGAGTGAAGGTGTCTTTTGATGTATCATAGACACTGCCAGATGCACCTTGGCAGCCGACGAACGCCAAGGTGTCCTCGTTCGGGCAATCGAGAATATTCCTCACTCGCGTATTGTTAAGAATAGTTGACATGCGCATGCCTTGAACCTGGCCACCAAGCGTGAGCTTGACGCCACGGTTGGCACCGATGCCATTCGGAAAGGTAACGTTCTGCGGGGGGCCAAGTCAGTACTCCACGATCACACAACAAACCCACCAAAACACCAAAAGAAGAGAAACAGACGAGCCGTAAAAAGTGAGCGAATGACTCGTGAGATGTGTTTTTTTTCTTACTTTTATGGGTAATACTAAGGGGTCGACTGAACAGTCGTCCGCCTTCACGGCGGGAGAAAAGACGCTGGCCAGCAGGAGCGCCGCCCAGGGCGTTGAGGGCAACAACATCACGAGAAAACGCGAGTACGAGGCAAGATGCAACTGTTGTGAGGCATGACGGGCATCCGGCCAAACACATAATACATTGGGGTCTGTCTTTTGACGGCAGGGCGCCCCCTTTTGACTGTTCTTGTCTGCCCACCACCCCAGACGGGGTGCAATATCAAGATGTCGACTCCTTGCATGTCGCGCCAGGTTACCTAGCCGGAAGGGGGAGACGAAACCCACCGAGAAACTCCCATGTTATTAGAAGGGGCTCACGACTTTCCACATCTGTAACTCTATCCCCGCTTCAGTTGCGCCTGGGGCCGTTGCGAGTGCGCTCGGAACACACTCCGTTGGGGGCTATCGTCGTTGACGACCAAAGAGGAAGAACGGCTTGGGCAGACATTTCGAAAAAGTCAAATGAACTATATCAGATGAACTTCTATATAAACATTTCAATTTACTCTATATTGGACTTATTCATGTTATTCAGACGAAGAAAAGCTGTTGTGCAGTGGTTCCTGTCGTTGGACCGTACACTAGTCATGAACCTTGTTCAGGCACCACAACTGCATGCAGTTCCATGTCCTTGGCGTCCGGGCGTCAGGGTAAGATTAGGGTCGTATTACAAGCATTTTTATACAAGCCACGAGTGCCTGGCGAGGCGTTGTAAGGCGAGTTCTGCCGCTTGCTGGCGGCTGCAACGAATCGCTCTCGCCGAGCCAGAGGCTTGGGCAACCCTGACAAGATCTGCATAATGCCCTCGCAAATGCCGCGATCAGCAGCGATGCCCGCTGGAGCTGTTAATAAATTCTGTCTCAGGTATGTTGACAGAACCCAGATGCTAAATGTTCATAGGGCTATACAGCTCTGGCAGTAAGAGACTTGTTTACGGCTTGATATGAACTGTCCATCTGGCAACGCAGGTTTCCTATCACGGACCGAGTTTTGTCTTCCTTGTCCAAGTCTGAACGTCCCATGTCGCGGGGCAGGGATAAGGGTTTCCTCGCTCTCGGGAACCCCTAGCTTCGAAGGCAAGTGGGAGGACGTTGATCCGTCTCCATGGTCGGCGCACAGCCGGATCTGATCTGTTTTCCGCGAGTTTTCTCGAAGGAAATCCACCGTGTCGACATGAAAGTTGGTTGAGTTGATTGCGCTAGGCGCCAGTCGCCAGTCTGCCCAATTTGCCACCGCTAAAATGTCGTCTAAGCGCTTCGACCGTTGCCAAAACAGGGGTCCCGGATGTGGTTCCAGCTTTCCCACGGGGGTCGGATAGTTCCAGGACCGCCCCTAGCGAATGGGTGCGAGATGATTACGTTTTCAGTGAGATGAGATCAATCAATTCTGGCAGCTGAGGGTGAGGAAAACTGAGCACGTGGGCGTTGATCCCCTCGCTCCATTGTCGCCGAATCCGTCGGCCAATTCGGACGCTTCGGTCGAGTTTTTCTGAGCTCGCAACTAAACTCTGTTCGAATACGGCAATGAACACCAGGAATCGCATTCCGCGCAACCCAATCTCGTTGATCGGCTCATCGAATCGACTACGTATCCGGACTCCGGACTATCCCAATTCCCTCGGTGTCACTGTGTGAACGGTACCAGCAGGCTGGTGAGTCTAGAGCTTGGTCCATAGGTTATTTTGGCGATGTGGAAACGATGGGGAAAGTGACCGCGTGCACAAGCCCGGCACGCGTCCCACTGCCAGGTCCAGTCCAGAAAGGCATCAACTCTGGCTCGGTTAGAGATACGCGGCAAGGGGGAAGAAATCAGTAATTCGGTTAGGCACTGACAGAACCGTCGTTTGGCCAAGGCCACGCAAGATTTTCCAGCGGTGAGTTGAGGTTTCCCGTTGTCTGATTGGAATTCATACGAACAGGTTTCCTGTTGTTGGCGAGTGTCCGAAGCTATCTCCGCACTACCACCAGAGTTGACTTTGCATCCTACCCCAAGGACCAATCTCGGCAGGCTCTAACAGAACTCTGTTCCAAGTAAACAGACTTTCTTTAACAGCGTTTTTCAGGTCTTGCGGTCCAGTCTTCGGCAATGTTGAAAGAGCGCGATTGAGTCTACAACCGCGACCTGATAGCAGGCACATAAGCTTGTCAGCCAGTCGTCTAACATAGTGCCCAATTTTTGCGCCACAGCCATCCACCGCGCATTCGGTTCCTCAGGGATTGTAAGCCGACGTCGGCTCAATGGTCTAGTGGTATGATTCGCCCTTCGGGTGCTTGTGTTCTTCACAACCCTTGCGCACAGCGTGAATGGGCGAGGTCTCGGGTTCGATCCCCGATTGAGCCCTCCTGACATTTTTGAACGTCAAGCAAGCAAGCAGTTGCAGTAACTCTTTTTTTTTTTCTCAAGAAATCTTTATGATATAGATAGTAGTAACAATAGAACGTAATTGATAGGATGCGTTTACGTTCTGTTGCCTGATTAGTGAATTAGCATGCTATTATTATTCTTCTGCCTATTAGTGAGAAGCGACATTTATATGTCTCGCTGAGTTTGAGAAAGGAGTCTCTGTTTGTCTATGTCTTAATGAATATCTAGTAGAACGGAAAAGCACTTGCATAGGTAGCCATGATCTCTCACGGTACCTGAGAATCTGTAATTCATTAACTTAGATTCTATTTTCCGATCAAACCACTTAGAAGATTTCATGCTGAATTAACCGCTATGCTCACTCAATTCATTCTCGTCTCAGCTCAGTGTTATAGGATATATGAAACAGAGTAAAATGTTCCACAGGCTCTCCTGGGCCAGTCGTGTTCATCCCTTAGTCCTTGCCGTATGGGATGTCTAGTTGTTGTAGAGACCCGCTGATAAACTGAAGAATGCAAAAGAAACTTCGACTTTGAGATCCGTCACATCAACACGCTAAGTCTAGACGAGCCTGCAGACCCTCTTGCGTGCGGGGCTCGCCCTGATCACGAGAATGACCCACGAGCATTGCCCGCTCACAATCCACGATACCCTCTCGCCCTTCAACGGTCCTATGGCGCAACGGTAGCGCGTTCGACTCCAGATCGAAAGGTGAGTTACACCCTGGGGTTTCGATCCCCTCATGACACCCTCATCATGGTGATAGGTTGCTGACAGCGCTCAGGTTATCTGTTCAAATCAGGTTGGGATCATTCAGTCATTCTCTTTTTGGCCTTGCTTTTGACTTTGTCGCAGATGCGGCATAGCTCTGCGGTGAAGACGCTTTACAAACGCATCAGTTGGTGTTGCCGAGAGCTTAAATCATAGTCTGGGGGATTTCACAATGTCGAAAACAGAATCATCTCCGATGCCAAGTAAAGTGTTGTCTTGTCTACCTTATTCCTGCCTCACAAGGCGGGGTTGAACACGCGGCACCGGCTCGGCATCCTCATGCAGGCGCACAACGGCCGCTCGCCGCCCGAGAGCAGCCCTGCGGGCAAGTCGCGTTTGGACGGAACTGCCAGCTGAAGAACCCGTCCGTCTCATTCGTCAAGACACCGCCAAGGAAGCCGGTCTCACTGGAGAGGCTGGAAGACTGGTTGAAGATCTCTTTTGAAGAGACAGTGATCTGACCCCAGCCCATGTCGACGAGGGCATCGATGCTAGTACCATACACGTACTCTTTGAACCCAGCCCAGCGGATTGCCGACGCACACATGGGGCAGCTCTCGGCGTTGGTGTAGAGCGTCAGATCACCGAACGCGAGAAGAGCATCTGCGGGCGTCATGTTGTAACGCCCCTGAGGATCCGTGAAGATGGCCGAACAGTTGTTGATCGCTACCATCTCGCCTGCTACTAGTCAGCATTGTTCTCTCACGGCAGTTGCAATAACATGTTGCTCTGCATACCATGAAGCGTCGGGTTGCCTGAGCCCTGGTTGTTGTTCGCGCCAGTACAGACCAGCTCCCCCAGGCCACCGGCCGTGTGGTTCACAACGACAGCTCCAAAGGCCGCGAACGGGCAGGGGTTCGGCAATGCGAGGTTTGCCTGCCGCATCCAGTACGCGCGGGTCGAGGCATCAACCCCATCGTCCGTCGTCCACGTTGTCCACTCCTGGGGAAGACACTGCGGGAGGGCGGCGGGCATCGGGACCTGCGGCTTCGAGTTGCCGCAGGTGCTGCAGGTGTGTTTCTGCTGCTGTTCGCAGAGCTGCTGTTCACAGCATCGCCCTACCGACGGCAGCAGCAGCAGCAACAGCTGGCTGAGCGTGCTGAGCCTTGTGGAGAGAAGGCGCATGTTTCACGTGGTCCTGTGAGGCGGGAAGCTGCGACGCGAAGCTCAGGAAACGGCCAAATGCGGCTTCGGAGGTGACCTGTTTGGGGATAGCGGTTGTACCACGGGCGGGAGTGGCGAAACTCGGGTCAATGCTGGTGCATCTTTCCGCTGTCAAAGCTGGTGTTGATGGTGGTTCATGGAAGACGCAGCATTCGGCGGTATTTGTATCTCCTAGGAGTGATGGACAAGAATTTTGGTGAGAATTGGTGGAGATTGAATGAGGCGTTCATGGCTGCAGCTGAAGCGTCATGGAATGTCGGTGTCTACGTTGCATTTGAATCCCCGCATGTGATAAGAACCTTGCAATCTTTGAGATAAGCACCATGAGAGTGGGACGGTAAACGAGGCTATCTATCCTTCTCTCCGAAGATCAGATAGGAGAAGTTGTCGGTACGATGGCCGAGTGCAATGCCGCATTAGGATTCAAGAGCCGATCAACAACCGGGTTGACCCCGGAGCGCCCCGGACTGCTCCCGGCGCGAAGGCGGGGCCCGGCGCCGGTTCCTTGACAAACCTCCGACGGGACGGCATTGCCTCAAACGAGCAGCACATAGTCTGAAATGGACTTGGAAGCTATGCAGTTAAACTCAAACGCATTTGGTATCTATGATATTACAATGAGACTGTTTTACAAGGATCATATGTCGCCGCAGCGTGATCTCCCGCAATGAGAACATCGCGACGGTTGTGGGTGCTCCCCCGTCGTAATTGCTTGACCGTAGTACTCCACCTCAGTTTGTTCAGGATGCTCAGGAATGTCAGGAAGCTCCTCATCAAAATTCCTGTCTTTTCTTTCCAACATTTCAATATTGAGTCTGTAATTCGTCTTTCCAACGGCGTACGGATTTTCGCCAGTTATTCCGTAGGGGTTTGTCGACCTCCACGACAGATCGTATGGTTGAGGTGGTGACATGGGGTCCTCCAAAACTTTAGGCTTAGATCCGCCGTAAGCGTACATATCTCGATATTTTGTCGGAGAAATTTCGTCGGTCTTTGATGGGGGCCCCCCGATGTGATCACGCACGTAGTTGTCGCTGAACTGCGGCGGGCTGGTGCTCCTGCCAAACTTTTGATATCGCCCCATCTTGTATGATTTGTCGTCGGTCCCGACCGAAGAGGATCCCACGCTGTCTTTCGACGGCTTTGGCGAGGACCACTTGAAGAGCTTGAAGTTGGGAAACCACTTCTCCACGAGGTTGCGGATCATGGGCAGGCACGCGCAGACGATGACGACACCAAGCTCGATAGTTGTCCACCAAACCACCGGAACGTAGTCCCACGTCGGGTCGATCGAGTTACCGAATACCGCGAGAACTTGGAGACGGATTATGGTCGATATGAAGCCGACAGAGCCGAGAAGGAAGATCACAGCGACGGAGATTTTCTTGTTCTTGTTCATTTGCAAGCCCGGCAGCATTGCTATCGGCAGGGCGAGTATGATGAGGTCCTGAAGAATGGCGAGAGCTGAGTTGGCATACGCCAGTTGGTTAATGTCGAGACAGCCACCGGTGTGAATGTCTTTGTTCCAAAAGAGTTCAATCGGATGGCACGAGAAGATGGTCAGAAATCCGATAATGACCTGGCCCAGCACAAGGAATGCAATCAAAGAGTAGGCCGCCATCCGAAACCTGGGTACCGTAAATATGCGGAGGTAGAACGTGACCAGAGATAGTTTCGCGAACAGAAGCACGAAGACGTAAACGATCTCGGCGGCATATAACAATTGCAATATTTTCGTCAGTTGTCCGGACTGCAGGTCGTAAAGATGTGTCCCGAATCCCATCGTAGCCACTGGACACTGTCAGCACCTAAGTATATGAATCCCAACCGGGGAACTTACTTATGATCACAAGAGAGAACGGCGCAATCGCAATGACCTGATATTCTCGTCAGCTCGTGATTCTCAAGCTCGTCAACTGCTTCTCGACTTACAATGGCAGCAACAATCAAAGCATCATCTGTGCTCCATATCTTTGCAAAACTCTTCGCGATAAGTCGTAAGCCGATTGCAATGAGTGCGGTAACGTAGACTGTGACCAAAATGGCCAACATCTTCGTGGTCTGGGATTCGTGCGGCAGGTTACATTGCCTGGCTTGAAGCTTTGCCAGATCTGGAAAATGTTAGCTTGTAACACCCCTCTACACCGAGTATCATCATCATACCTAATGAGTCCTGCATAGTGCAGTTCGCGATCAAGCAGCTCGCGGCGAGCTGGCCAAGCTGCGAACTAGCACATGAACAAGTCGTGTTCGTCAGGTCGCAGCCCGAGCCGGTGATGGACTGCACGAGACAGTTCAACTCGATAGGACGTTAGCAGTGGGTTTGCATATTCTTTCCAAGTGATACTCACGCCGCATGTTGAGATGTTACTCAGATCTGGTAGCTGTCGCGAAACCAGCTGGTGCTCAACAACATGAAAGCCTTGTCCGTTCGCCCCGACGATACCCAACATCGAAAGCGCAAACAGTATCCATCCCAGGCCATTCAAGGCCTTCGACGATTTGGAGAGCCGCATATCGACCGGTATTGATCTGCTATCGCCACTCGCTCACCACTCCATGTAACCAAAGAGTCCAAAGAGAGTGGGCCCCGTTGGCTGCGTGCTCGAAGTTCGTGCGGGCAGGGGAGCTAATGTCGCCAAGTCGCCGCTCCGGGCGGCATGTAACTTATTTCCCCGGAAGTTGGTAAGGATCGAAACCTAACGCCGTAGATTGAATTAAGGATGTTGACGAGCGGAGACCTAAGAATGCATCATGAGTGGGGAGGGTAAGTCGTTATCAACCCTTCCCCCGGACACCCGTTCGCCTTCGAGCCTTGACACGTCAAGGATAACTGGTCTTGCTTCAGATGCCAGATGGGCTGCATACTGGTGGGCACTAACGGAAGGGGACACCGACAGGGAAGGACAAAGATCCTCTCTCTCTCACTCTGCTCTCCTCTACACCTTCAGCAAACGTATTCGTCCAGGTTTTGGGGGTTTGGAAGTTATGGGATGAGATGGGATGGAAACTCGAAAAGCGGTAGATGTGTGTGGGTGATGTGAGCACGAAGGATGCGTGTGCGCTAGTGTGTCTCTGTGCGCACATTGTCGAGATGGTGTGTATGTGATTCGTGCCTCTACACCAAGTTACCATACGAATGACTACCGTTGAGCATCGCCGCATGATAGTTGCCTCGCCACTGCAAGATAGGTAGCCAACGCTCGGCTTGGATGCCGGTACATCGCCAATAGGGGAGTTTAGAGTTCGGACGTGCGATTCTAGCGTGCATGCAGCAACCATGGTGTCGGTTGTCATGTTTCACGGGAACCTGAGCTCTCCCATCTCCCACTGGGCCGATCAGGAGACGAGTTATCCAAGCGAACCGTGCGTGCCCGTCATCTTCATGAATACTTACAACCTGGTGTATAGCTGGACATATTGTGCGTACTGTCTGTGGTTTTGGTTGGTACAGCGTCAGGTATGTTGGTCCCGGCCCAGCTTCCCCGCTCGCGATCCTAGTCTCCATCCGGATGCAGCTCCGGGGTGAACGCTGTGATGTTTCACACTTGGTGTTTTGAGACCGGCTTCGAGAAGGGCTGCCAAGCACACCTCGCACTAACTACCGACCACACAAGCGTCCGCGCATGCGAGTTAGTCCTGCAGGCAGTATGTAAGCGGGGTCGTTTGGTCTGTGGCTCAAGCAGAAACTCTATTTAGACTCCGCCATCTTCCCGCATTCTTCTTCTAGCTCTTGTCTGTTCTCGTCAGCCAACTATCCTCTCAGGAGCCGTTTCTGACGAGCGACGAAACTGACGCATCCCAACGGCATTGGACTGATATTCTTCTTCCCTACTCGAAACCGCGCTGTCAATGTCCGCATGCACCCATTTCCTATTCGCCCTGCTGATCGGGCAAAGGGGTCGATGACAAGCCCGGCTCACCTCCTGCTCAAGCCTTGAGTATGGCCTCCGCTTCACTAATTTGCCAAGACGCTCTCCTTCCTCATCCATCTGGGCACAAACATCCCGATGAACTCAACTTACGCCATGGCATCCTGAGCAAACTTCATGACTCCTGGAAGAACCCGGTCTTCATCCCGTTCTCCAGCCCTTCTGGAAGCCAAGCCCACTCAACCCGACGATCACAGATCTCGTAGTTCGTGGCTTTCGGTGATGTGGGGGCAGAATTTCTTCAACTCCGAGACGATGCTCCATGCAAGCTGCGGAGGCTTCAGCACCGCACATGCTGGGCCGATGAAAGTCCTCGGAGGAACAGTTCCCCTTTCGTGAGCATTTCCGACGGACTTGGCTGCCTCCGGTGTGAATATGCGACAGCATCAATTCCCAGATCGCCTTATTTCTGCATATGAACTTTGAATTCTTGTGCGATCTCTGAGAGCTGAGTTCGTGCGCGGGATCTCAGGTTTTACGATGCAACGGTGAATCAAGTCTTTTTCGGTCCTGTCAAAAGTCTTGTGTCACAAAAGGCACATCAGAGTATGAATAATGCAAAGAGAGGCTTGTTCGCCGAAAGAGTCGAGAATCAGTCGAGAATCACGATGACATGACTTGACGGGTGAATTTCCCGCCCTCCATGCCGCACGGTAAAACCATCGAGCAGAATATCTCCAACCGTTGGCCAGGGCTTCAGGGGCACGGACAAGAAATGTTCAGGATGTCCCCCGACAAGGCGCAGCCAACTTGATGGCAACTCGGTCATGGGGATCTGAACAAGGTATGATCGACCCCTTCTTTTCACGAGACAGCCACTTATACGAAATTCCCTCCCATCCTCCATGTTGAAGATTCAACCAACCATACTGCGTCAAAGACTAGCGGCGATTTTTCGGGCATAAAAACTCGTGTTATCAACTCAAAGTCGGGTGATGAACGAAAGGAATTTAGAACCTTGATGACATTAGATGGCTTAGACTTCCCGGCTCCAATGAGCTTGAAGCTCCTTCTGAAATACGAATACATCGCGGAACTCTAGTTGCCATTGCTAGCCCCTCGTAGCTTGGCGATCCTGAACTTCGTCTTCTCAATGACCGTCTCCTCATCCCAGATGTGAGTAACACTGGGAGTCTTATTCACGGTCTGTGCCCATTTGTAAAAATTAGGGGTCCTCTTCTCCAGGGATGTAAGGAGGCTCGGCGGGAGCAGCTCATGCTGGGAGAATGCGAAGAGTCTTAGGGTGAACGATCCAGTCAAAGCCTGTATCGGTACGTTAGCATCTCTCATATGACCAGAAAGTTCCCGCCTCAGGGAGCGTGCTGTCGTCAAAAGTAGCCCCGAGCTGCAGATCTGTAAAACTCACCTCAGCCAGAGTAGGCTTGTCGCTGCCACCAAAGTAGGGCGCAGCATCCTTCAGGAGAGGCTCAACCTCCTTCGCAATAATTTCGACGAAGCTATTGGCGACGGCGTCAACCTCGGCGGGTGACTTGGCCGTGTACACCTTGAAGATGAGCGGATTGGCCTTGGAGAAGTACGCATCGACGAAGAAGTTGATGCGGGCGCGACGGAGGGCGCCGTCCTTAGAGTTGGATGCCGGCAGGAGGTGCGAAGGGTGGGCGTCGGCGAGGAACTGGGCCACAACGGCTGACTCGGTGATGATCTCGCCGTCGTATGAGAGCGACGGAACCAGGCCGCGGGGGTTGACTTTGAGGTACTCTTCCGTGCGGGGAACGGCGAGATCGATGATTTCCTCTTCGTAGGGGAGGCCGAGCTCGATGAGAGCGATGTGCGCACGGTGAGCCCCTGGGTGGTTGGTTGCACTGAATCAGTCCATGATCTTGAGTGTGTGCCACCCCGTCTCGTGGGACGGGTCATGCTTAATTCATCTCACACGAGGGTGTTCAGGTACGTGAATAAGGGGCTTGTGCCAAGTGACGAGGATGATAAGAGTTGCTAATCGACTAGTGGTGTGAAGTTCACATACATGGGCAGCCGTGGTTGGTGTACAGCTTGATCTTGGGCGCGGAAGACATTGCGGGGTCGTTGGTGAGATATTTGGAGAGGTTTACGAATCAATGAGCTATGTCGATACTTGGATTTCGGAGCTTTAGCTGACCGACGAAGAGGTCGATGGTGAGGCAGCTCAGTGTTTTATGGCATCGAAGTTGAATAAGTGATTACCAATGACCCTATGAGATAAGACGTTGCACCATTGGAGAATCGATGTCGTGATGGATTTCTTCACATGAGGGGAAACCCCTCTAGGAAAACCGCGGGGACGCGGGGCCGGCGATTGCGACATGGTAGGCTTGGCTTAGAAATCAGTCGGCGGTCGGTGCTCGATGGGAACCGAGAGGCTCGCCCAATAGCCATACTTTGTTATCTGTTGGCTACTGCATAGCACAGCTTTCCAAGACACCAAGACACCCTTGCATGTGCATTAAAATGTCCACCTACCAAGCCGATGCAGGCGAGGTTTCCCCGAGCCGGATAGACTGGAAAGACTTCCGCCGTTGCGGTGGAAATAGCATCCGCATCCGTGCGTCCCGTCTGGAATGGCAGCGGTCTGGACCCTCCGAGTAGGGCTGAGGATCCCTGTAGAGACGACAGCAACCCCAAGATCTCGAGACTTGAGAGTATCGATCTCCATCGAGCCGCAAGGATGTTTTTACACAGTTGCTAGGCGTTAGTGGCGGAGCACAGAACGCAAGAATGTCAAGACATAACGAAGGCAATGAAGTGTCAAGACACGGACCCAAACTCTTCCCAAACAACCAAAGGCTGAGAAGTTCTGCGCTATTACTCGCAAAAATCAAAGGCTTCCTACTAACGACCATTCGTCATAAGTTCAAATATTGTTTAGGACATGTCGTCGAAGTTTGGTCAGCGCTAATGTTGCGGCTCATAATTACCTTGGTCATCAGCATGCAATCACCCTCATCTAAAAATTAGGTAATATCGCAAATGATGTCAGGTGTCCAACAAAGACTATATGCACGATATTGCGAATAAGTCGTCACCGTATCAGAATTTCCAGTCTAGCAGCATCAAGACAATAACATCCAATTGATACACAACTCCACTGTCAAGATACAAGGCACGAAGAGACACTTTGCTGTCGCTCCAGACGTTACAACCGGAAAGGAAATCCATACATCAAAATCAAAACCAAAGTCCACCTTCCAAAGTCCAACCCCAAATCAACCCTTCCTCAGGTCACTTACGCAACTTCCTTCATCAGCACCTAAGCAACCGGCAACAAACATCTGACTTTTGGATAGTAGACAAGCTGAGGCAACCCGCCACAAGTCTTCGGACCGTTAGACTGCTCATCCTTGATACAGTCAAACGAACCAATCCCATCGCAGACGAAAGTTCCCGCACCGTCCTTCTTCTCGTTATACCTACATTGCTTTCGGCCAGAAATTTCCACCCCGGAATCAGCCTCAAAAGTAGGAGGCCACGATAAGTTGTCGGAGGTTTTTGTGTCGCCCGAATCTTCCAAAAGCGGAAGTACTGTGCCAATGGCCTTCAGGCCAATCCTCTTGTCGTCGCACTCTCTGCGGCTTGCGTCGTCTGCTTTCTTCAGGAACATGACCCAGGAGCCTCTCGAGTTAGGAATTTGGCCCGGCTCGGACGGGGTAGCTTTTTCCAACGCAAACTCGATCAAAACCTGCTCGGTGGGCTTCGGCGGCGGAGGCTTGGTTGACGTTGTCGACTTCGGTGGAGGCGGAGCCGTCGTGCTTTCCTTGACAGCCGGTGACGTTGTGGTCTTCGCGGGCTCCGGCGACGAAGTAAGAGTTTCCATAGGTCTAGTTGTCGTCGGAACAGTCGTCGGAACAGAAGCAGGCAGGCTCGTCTGTTGAGAGGGCTCCGACGAAGTACCACCGGGAGTCGCTGATCGGATCGGGCAGGCCTGTCGCTTGGCTGCAGCTCCGCCAGCAGCTTGGCCTTGAAAGATTTGGTTGCTCGCAGGGTCCCAGCTGGCAGTGCGCCCTTCCAGCGGTCTTCCTTCGACCCACATTCGCCAGCTGGCCTTGCCGGTGCAGTCGGGAGCTGGTTGGTACTGAATGAGCAATTTACCGCGTGATTCCGTGATTTCTAAGTCGAGCAACTGTTGAGGTGTACCTCGAGTTTTGGGGGCATAGTCAATGACGTCTACTCTCACTTGTGTCGAGGTTGTCGAGAAGGTTTTGTACAAGTCATCGTGTATCTGCGCAATCCTTGGGCCGTACAGAATCCCTCCTGCATTGTAGCTGGGATCTAGGCGGGCTTCATCCGTCGCAGACTGTGTAGGACGTTCGCGTGGTGTGAAGATGAAAACCTGAATCGGCAAATTGCTATCGGCCGGCGTGCCGTCGCCGAAGATGATACCGCGGTTCCCGGCATCCGGTTTGTCTTTGAGGTCATCCATTCCCCACTCTCTATATTCGGTCAATATGTTTGTGCTTCCGACTCCTGAATGGAGATCCCTGATGGCTCTGAAGGTGAAGTCATTCTCGATGTGGCTGGTGAAAGCCTTCTCCCAGATATGGCTCGCCCACGCACCTCTCTGAGACAATACCACAACAGAAGTGCACCCGTAAAGCCCATGGACAGACAGGGCTGCTACTTTGTCATCGAAAGAGACCCAGTTGTGACTAGTCACGTGGTCACCGTGCTTAAAAGTAGTAAGTTTAACCTCCTTGGCGTCGTAAGGGGGTTGCATTTGGACAATCTCCCAGGTCTCCCCAGCCATGAATGCGTCTTGATTACCTTCATAATCACTCGGGTCGGGCCAGACGCCTTGCTCAGGGTCGCCGCGCTCTTGGAGTTCACGAGGCGCTAGCTCACGACTTCTCTTCTTCGATGCCGCGCAGTCCGCGTCACCGCAGGTTGACGGGTTACACAACCACTCTGTCGGGGTGCTCAGCTCCGACGTGGAAGTGGTTGCTGAGTTTTGGCCGGAACAGCCAGTGACTGTGGTAAACGCGGCTGTTGAGCACCCGAGAGTCTTTGTTGGGCTACCATCCGTTGGCGATTCTGCTATCACCATCAGTGAGATTGATCATTGGATGTACTCAGGAGCAAGCCGCTGACCTTTCGTCACAGAGCAGAATACGCTCTCGTGTGTCGCAGTAATAGTGGTGGTACATGACGAAGAAGTGGATGTAGTGGAGGACTGCGAGTCTGATTTCTGATCCTCATCGTTGTCCCCGTCTTTTCCGTCAGTATCTGAAGACGGAGGACAACTGCCAATGTTCAAGCCGAAAAGCTGGATGCAAAACTCCGGCACGCTGATAGCGATGTTCGGAGGGAATGACAAGTAGCAGCCAAAACATATTCGGGGCGGGCCGGAGAAGGGAATAATCACTATTGACAGGAATCAGCTAATGTTGGTTTTGACTTCGACTGACCATTGGTTACGTACCTGGAACTATCGTGGGTTGATCACTTCCGGGCGATGTTGTTGTGATGTACGTCGGTGTTGTGTAAGTCACATCGGTGAGGGTTTGGAACACTGCAAGCTCTGGAATCTTGGTGAGGGTTGGTGCCGTATCTGTCGTGAGAGGGGTTTCGAGTCCGGTGCTGCTGTGAATCGGGGTCGACACAGTGGGAGTTGCAGCTGTGTGTGGCACTCCCGTTGGTGTTGTCGATAGCGGAGCTCCACCAGCCCCAACATTAGCTGCCGCGCTTGAGATATCTGCTGCCACTTCTTCCGAACCAGATCGGACTACTGTGGTGGCAGAGTCGATTTGTGACGGGTCAGTTGCGACGAGACCTGTGCCAAGACCGCGGAGAATGTCGAGCAGCCTGCACATAAGGAAGCTTAAGTTCTGCGCCAGGCCGCTCTCCTCCGAGGACATAGCTGTGCAGGTTGTTTGGATGACTCCTCCTGGAACATTATTGGTAAGGCCGCCAACAATCGAGACGAGAGGCTGGACAGCTTTGATGGCTTCCGATGCCCGCGGTTGCTCCGGTTGAGTGAGCCAGGCGGTGACGGTCGATAGAGCGATTGAGACATCTGATGAGATAGAAGATACGCTCGACCTAACCTCTGGAGCAGAAGGATCAAGCTTGGTGGGCAATGGGGCCGGGAGGGTTATAGGAGACGTGAGAGGCCCTCCATTGATAATGACGACTTCTTTGGTGACACCGTCATGGACTGTGGTACTTGTCGTCAAGGCTGGTTGCGCAACAACAGAACTATCCCAGGCGGCAGTGGTTTCCACCGGGGTGGAGGGCGGGCCGGTCTCTCCTGCGTTGGGCTAAACCTCGTCAGCTCCTGAGCGTGCAGCAGAACAATAGAATCAGACACCGCCTTCGGAGAGCATTACCGTTGTAGTGATGTGAGTCGGGACGCCGGTTGATGAACCGCAGAGTCCCAGCTCTTTCTGGTGCAAGAACTGGCAAGTTACAGCCTCATTTGCCGCAACTTGTCGAATGACATTACTGTGATGGTCGTTTCTGAGTGCAGCATTGCCGACAACTAGCAGCCAAGCCACAGAGCTAACAGTGTAGAGCAACATTACTGCTGCAAAGTCTATACAAATTGATTCAAAGATGGAAAACACAATGTTGAACTTGAGATGTCTTCTGGCAGCGAGACGAAACAGACAGTAGGAGGCATTCTTGCGCCCTTTTAAATCTTTTTCCTGGCCCTGTGAATTGTCACATCACCTAATCTCGAATATCCTTTTTCTCGTTTCTCTCGATTCATCCTCCAAAGAATCACCGACTGGCGCTCGGTTTCATGTTGGTTGGATGGGTTGGTTGGGTGAAGAATGACATCCCACTAGATGGGGGATATTGGGGGCACCGGCCACTCGACGGCCAAGCCAACGAGGTCATTCGTAGGTACATGTATGGGCCAGTTAGGAGTATGCCCTCTCTACACACGGTTCAAATGTGTCAAATTCCATGTGCGACCTTCGAGGGAACCGGGTGGTGACTTTCATGCTTGTTCCTGCAGACTGCAGTTACCTGCACGCATCTTGCTGGACTTGCGGCGCCTAAGTTTTGGGGGCCAACAAGCTGGCAAAATCAAGGAAAGGAAACCACGAAAATCTTAGTCTGGGGGTTCTTGGGGGTGCTGAACATTTTTTGGGGGCGCCGAGATGAAAATGGGCTCGCATTTCCTCGAATATGATCTGATAATGCAAGCCTGGTGGCATTGGGGGTTTTCTTTCACCAATGTCCCAACCAACAGCACCAATAAAACTGTCGATTTGAGGAGTGCAGCATGAAACCAACGGTCCAACGGCATATCAGACCAAAAATGGGACCTTTCTAAATATAACAGCCCGTCCATTTTCTGTGAGTCCATCACGTTGAGTGGGCTATCACGTGTCCTTCCCCGCACCTCTGCTGTTGCCTATCTTCACGACATCGTCTCTCGTTTCCTACTTTGAAAATTACTCGCCATCGTTGCTTTTCTCTGCATCACTGCTTCAAAATTCTGTTCTCCAAACTTGACATCCGAACAGCCCGACTCTACGTTTCCAACAAAGTCATCATGGGTAACAATTTTGTGACGACATACGCGCAGGAAATTGAGCGCATGAAGCAGCGAATCTGTCAGACGAAAGAAGTCAACAGGTTGCGATACCGTATCAACCCTCGACCCGTACATTACGAAGTCGATCCCACGCCACTTTGTCCCGGGGCTCACTTCCCACCTCTCCCCCCGAAGTTACCACGGCCTAAATATACCTCCACGGCGAATCTGATCAATATTGACGCCGACGACGAAGTCCACTTCTACGTGGCCTGCGAACAAGGCCTCCTCGACCGCGTAGTCACCTTCATCCGCGAAAACGAGCCTAGCGAGGCAGTCTTGCAGTTCGGCCTCGAACAAGCTTCCTTCGGGAACCAACCGGCCGTTGCCCGGTGTTTGCTGGAGCGCGGCACTCTCCTTCACAACAATGTGTTTGGCCGGGGCGAGTTTGACAGACACTCCAAGTCCAGGTATCCCAATGATGTCACGATATTTGACAAGTCTGAACCGGCAAAAGACCTCGTACCTCTCATCCAGGTCTACCTCGATTGGGGTTGGCACCCGAACCAGGCTTGGTGCCGCGCGCTCGAAGATGAAGGCCAGACGCCGCTCGTGATCAAGGGGTGCCTGCTTAATCGGCCGCTCGTCGAGCTGCTCTTGAAGCACGGGGCGAACCCGGACATTGGAGAGAATTCCCTATTGGCAAATGCAGAGGAGCTGCCTTTAAAGAGCTCAGGGGGGGATGCTGTCAATTTTGCGGCCCAGTTGGGAGACATCTCCCTTGTCGACCTCCTCTTGGCTTCCGGCGCCGAGCCACGGATCACGAAACCGTTCGTCAGCCTCGTCTCTAGCCAAGTGGTTACTGAACAGGCCGATTTCGGCCGAGTGCCATTCTCCCAGCGCCGGTCGATGGCTGAACATGTTCTCGCCGCGGGCATCGGCGGTGTCAACGACGTGAAGTGGGTACTGAACCGACACGGTGGCGTTGCGTACCAGGTGGGGAGTGGTTATGACACTACGGCCTTTGCGCACGCTTGCGCGGCGCAGGACTGGGAGTATGCGGAGTGGTTGCTAGAGAAGGGCGCCGACCCTGAGTTGCTTGACGGCCTGGCGCTTAGAAAACAATGGTGGATAGACGGGCTTATTGGACCGAACGATCCCGAGACTGTGAGAAAGCTGGTGGACAAGGTCAAAGGCAAGCGCCTGGTTGCCCAGTGATCTTGGGCGATTGGGTGTAAGCGGAGGATATTCATCCTGCATAGCCAGGTCAGACGAGGTGTGACTAGGCTTTCATAGTTGTTCAATTGAAGTCATTGTAGCGCATTGCATTCAGATCCTATGAGTAACCCGAATAGCCGCGTAGGTAATGCTGATGCTTGTTAGTATCTTCACCTAATGCTTTGTTTTGAGCAGCGCAATATTGCTCTGCTCAATGCAAAGCAGACAGCGTATCACCAAATATCAACCACGATGTCGAATCTCTCTGAAGTCTGCTTGATGTGTTGCCGCAAGCTGCCCAGAGCTTGGGGCTGCTTTCACAAACGACAAGAATCGGGTATTGGAGGAACAAAACCAGCAAGGGGATCGCCGAGGATGGCGGAGAAACTTATTGTCTGCTGAATAGATGCGAACGAGGGCTGCTTGCCTAGGACTTCGTAGAAACAGAGAAGTCTTGAGGAGGGCAATTGGTAATCAAAGTAGGAAGTGAGAGCTCGCAGCGTGTCGTTGCATTGTTCGTTATTTAGTCTAATTTCAGTATGGTCAGCTCCATGCAATTGCTGAGTCTGTAGATATGACTCAAACCGTACTTGCTATGATCTTGACGGCGAAATTGTGCAGGATCAATCCTGATACTGTACAGAAGTTGATGGTCATTTCGTGGTGCAATAATTCAAGCAAACCGCGCCAAATCTAGCGCTGTGGTTAGTCGATACCTTGAACGCGCATGGCCAAATCGACGCCTTGGATAGTTCTCGTCTTTTCAACGCGGGGGGCTTTGCCCATACAGAGTTACACTTTTCAATCTGGGTGTCGGTCTTTTGCAGATGATGTCTGATAGAGAGAGTAGGTAGTGTAGCTCAGAGACACAACACATCCAGGGTCCGGATACCCGTCGGATTTGGCTTCGGGCCCCGGAATCAACGAGTGGGAGGCCGATGACAGCCGTGCGTATCGCATCGGGACTCATACACGACAATGACTCGGTCGCGTCACTGGCATGATCTGTACTTCGTCTACTCTCACCGTCTACTCCATTTCTCGAATGGCCTCCCGCGGTAACATAGGCGCAGCGACAGTTGTCAGGCCTGCATCTCGACACGGCATCCCACTCACATGGGCCTTGCATAATCGCAGGCCAGTTTAGACAGCCTGCACGGATCGCCCGCTGCTAACTTTGGCAGCACCGGATTTCCCTCCGATGGAAATGGATATCAGGGTGAGCGGTTTCATCAAGCGAGCCATGCTTCCGTCCATCGGACGCGGTTTGTCCGACAGCATGCCATTTCCTGCTGCGCCGCCTGATCGTAGACCGGCTTCCTTAGTCATAGACCTCTCTCGATTTAGCATCAGCCAATAGGCGCAGTCCGCAACAGCATTTACTAAAAATCGCTGGACGGATAGCTTTTTAGAGAGATAAACCTTCAATTGCATTTTGTTCGATATTGTCGCCCATGACCGGCTAAAGTGTAGACGACTTTTCCAGCTTGCATAACGAAGAATTTGTTTCTGGCTGCTTGCCGCGGGGTTGCACGGAGAGGCGGTACTGTTAATAAAGCATGGTGGTATTAATCTCGGCTGGATGAATATCACAATGTCTTATACCAACAACACCGCCGTTACACACACAAAAAGCAAAAACATCGAGATTTCAGACGAAGGCGGTCAGCCGGTTGGTTGTGCCCTGCTCGATTCATCCCAAAATTCAGAGTTTTTTATGATAGGAACGCTGTAGGGATGATCACACTAAACGCATATAAGCTCAACCCGCAGTTCTGGAGATGCGGATGTGCACGTTTGACTCGCTGACCTGATCGTCGAGATCTGCTGAATCATGCTGTCCGTGTTCGCTGGTAACGGCCACTCGAGAAGATTTCTCTTGGACCTTTCTACGGAGCAAACCCCCAGCTGGCTTTATCTCTCTATCTTGGGGCTGGATATCTCGGCCAGAGGGTGGGTTTTTGTGGTTGATCATCGCCCTCTTCTCGGTGAGCGAATTATCTGGTTGGGTGCGCAAATTATCGAGGAGAGAGAGGGTTCCCCAAGGTTTGGTTTATTTTTGGGGTTTGCTGCAACCGACCTGTCGATCTTTCTGATGGTGGATCGCAACGGTGACGGCTAGTTAGCTTGGTGAATGTGAAGAACCGGCGAGACAACACGAGGTGGCGGGAGCTCACATAATATGACTACTAGTGTGAAAATTCGTCCTTCAATGAGACGTCAATATGATTCAATGGCATACCACGCAGGGTAATTCCCCCGACCGTCCAACCTTCTTCTCGAAAATTCCAGACTCGCCCTGAGCTTGTCTTCTGTTGACCTCGTCTCCACCGAAAAAAACCGAGAGACAAGAAAAAAACAAAAATAAACATCAAAGTGAGGAGGAGCCGAGGAGGTTAAACTGGGGACGCGGGATACCCAACGGGTCCCTCCGTGGAATTCCCTCCCCTTCTCCCCTCTCCCCATGCCCGTCCCAACTTGAATTGTTCTGGGGACAGCCAGCAGATCGTCCGAAGGCGGCCCCAGGGTATTTGATGGGGCTCAAATCAGACCATATCGCACAACAGGTGTGAATACTTGGAGTGCTGCAGGGTCACTAGAAAATAGGGACGACCCAACGAATAGGAAACCAACTTCGCGCCCATCAGCCGCACTAGGGGTTTAGATACCCCGATAAAGGTGTGTTTCCTGTAGAATGGTTCCAGCGGGTAGCGCAGCGACGATCTGGCGGGTTTCCGAGGAAGCGCACGACTCATGGGAACAAGTCGCCTCCAAGCTTGCCGTCAGCCGAGCGCGACCAGCGCTTGTTAGGCCACTGGAGGAAACACGACATAGCCTCTGCCTAGCATTGCACAGCAAAAAAAGATCTGGTCAGCAGTCACTCTAGGACGTTAAGCGCAGCGATTGTCGGGCGACGGTTCCGCCCGCTTTTGTGACTCGGGCTATTAATAGTTAAGGTTTTTCGGTTCGGAGTTATCGAAGAAAAGGCAGAAGGCAGGGCACGACAGGGCAGGCACGCAGGGGAGAAGCCCGCGTCAGTTTCACGTAGAAGAGAGCATTAGCTCACGCCGTGATCAATCTAGCGTCTGGACTCTGTTGCCTCCTTGCCTCGCCCCAGCCCTTACTTGACGTTCGATATTGGCTCTGTTGTGAGTGAAACCGCGGGCAAGAAGAAGAAAAGAGGCGGTTGTCATGTTGGGCATGCTACGTTACCCCCCTTAATCTAGCGTCGAGAGAGGGACCCTCTTGGCTAAAATAGGGGACGTGGGGCTCTTTTGGTCGTTTGTTTGTGACATCACTGCCCGAGTCTCTGCCCTATGTTAAGGAAATGGCGGCAGAGTGTGCTGTGCGGACTAACATGCGAGAACCCGTTCTTACCGTGTCTGTTAATTCTGGATGCTACGCTACAGACACAGAGTTGAGAGCAAGAGAGAAGAGAGGGCTGGGGGGCGCAGTTTGTCTTTGCAGTGCCACGGCAAACCAACCAACCACTCCAATCCCAATCGTCCCGTGGGCCGTTGGCCTCCAGAGAAAAGAAGGTCTGGTGCTAAATCGAGCAAACCGAACCAATCGGCGCCCCTCGCGGCGTGCGGCTTCCGAGGCCACCGGCTGTCCCGTTCAGCTGGTCTCTCTGTGTGAACGGTGTACCCCGTTCTCCAGTTTGCTGTGGCTGGGACGGCAGCCAGTTCATCGCCAAGAAAGCTCAGCAGCCCAACGCACATGAGCCCTGCAGCGGTGCAGCCCTTGTGCCCTTGTGAGGCTCCTCTCGTATTTGTCCGGCTCTCCACTTTGTCAACCAAGTGAGGCCCATGATGTCAATCGGGCTCCGCAAAAAGTGACCCCGGTCGGCATTACGAGAAGATCTTCGCCGCCCCCGGCAGTGCTGGTGCTGTGCACTGAGTGGCAGTTTGCCTCTGGCAGCCGGTCCCCCGATGTTTACGAGATGGGACTGCTGGCCAACGGGAGTCCCCTGGCTAAATGAAGTGGCACACCGGCCAACAGGTAGAAGTCTTTGCCATCGTCAAGTTGGTATATAAGGTGACAGGTGAATCCTCCTTCATGAATGAAAGAAGAACATCCTCATCACACACACACTCACCAACCAACCATCTAATCAAAGATAATCTTCCGACCACTACAGTCTTTCCAGAACATCATCAACTCACCACAACCACAACTTTCCTACACCTTTCTTCTTTAGAACCAACCACCAACCAACCGCCAAAATGCAGTTCAAGGCCCTCACCGCTCTCACCTCCCTCGTCGCCGCCGTCTCCGGCCTCCCGACCTTCTCCGCGACCAACGGCACGGCCACCAACAACACCCTGCCCGCCGACGCCAAGTTCCAGCTGATGGCCCTCCGCTCCGCGTCGCCGGTGCACTTCTCCACCTTCCAGGCCGCCAAGTCCTCCATCTTCCTCCAGCTGCCGTCCCAGAACGCCACCTGCGACCAGCGCAACGCCACCGAGTCCGCCACCTTCACCCTCGGCCAGGACGGCGGCCTCTACCTCTACGCCGCCTCCGCCACCCCGCAGCAGCTCTACGCCGACCGCTCCGGCATGGGCCAGGGCAAGCTCGGCTACACCACCGGCGCTCAGCCCGCCCCCCGCAACGGCGAGCGCACCGGCTGGACCATCGACGCCTTCGGCGACCTCACCCTCGACGGCGCCGGCTTCCTCGCCTGCCCCAACAGCATTGAGGGCGCCTGGTCCATCTGGGTCTCTTCTGGTGTCGCGAACCCTGCTGGTAACACCGACTGCCTCGGCATCTCTGTCCGCGCTGTCCAGGCTGTTGTCCCCAACAGCTGTTCTTACACCTCCAACTAAGGGGTTGGTGAAGCATCTTTTCGGCATGGATTCTTGGTAGATTAAAATTGGCATGTGGGACACGATGAACAACGTCCCCGGGAGATATCCTATAGAATGGCGCAACTTGTATTTATGGCATACCCTCTTTCCCCCAAGACACCGAAGGGGACTGTACATCGCGGATGACGCGACAGCAATAACTTCTCTGTACATGAATTAATATGTCACTTTTTCAAACATTTGCTCGCCTGTTTGTTCTGATGTGAATGTGACCAACTGCTTCTGATCAATATCAACTCATGAAAGAAATCAATTTCTATGCATGCTTTAAACTTCTATTGAAAGGGATATTTATACCAGTCTCTAATCTGCCATCAGCCCTCGACCTTGTTGATACCCTCCGCATCAACCACCAACCCCGCCTTCTTAAACTCTTGGTCATTCGTCGGCAACTCAACCCGCCACTGCGAAATCAGCGCAGCCGAAATCTCAACCTCGCCTTCCGTGCCAAGGGCCAAGATGTGCCCACCTTGCGTGCGGTCCTCAGTGATGAAATGCATATGGTCACCCGGCACGCTGATGCCCTGTGTGTACTCTGGCGAGCGAAAGCCAATGACAGTGCCGCGGACGGGCTCCTTGAAGGTGTGGGAGGCCTGGTTCGCGCCGACCTCGCGCATGCTCTCGCCGGGCTTGCTCTGGCCGCCGGCGGTGCGGACGGTGACGTTCTTGAAGACGCCCTCGATGCGGATGGCGAGGAAGTAGTTCTTGGAGTCGGGCAGGCGGCCGGATAAGTGGGCGAAGAGGCCCTTCTTGTCGTCGAAGGCGCCGGTGATGTGGGTGTCGGGGCGGAAGCGGGTGACCATGGCGAAGGGGGCGACGGCGTCGCTGGCGGGGCTGGTGTCGACGGCGGTGACGGTGTTGTCCGACTTCATCTGGTACAGCTTGCCGTCGAGGATGATCATCTCGCCGTTCATGTAGCGGAAGGTGCCGAGGCCGTGGTCGCCGTGCTGGATGAGCTCCGAGACGGGCAGGCCGGTGGAGGCGATGCCGTCCATCAGGGCCGAGATGATGGAGTACTGGTAGATTTCGTTGACCGCCATTGCGATGATTGGTGTTTGAAAAGACAAAAAGAAAAGTTGTCTCGGTAAGTGATGCCAAGTATGAGATGCCAAGGTTCGGATGTCGAAGCTAAGACACAAGAAGATCGCGGTGGTGGTGGTGGTGGTGAGGTCCTAATTGACTTTGGACGACGGGTGATTCGCTGACTGCAGGAAACACGTATGCTTACTTGCTGTCTTTCTCTTTTCCTTTCTGATGGATCTTTCCTCTTGTCTCGCGGCTTGCACGGGGAACTTTCTTCAACAATTATGGAGGAGCTCCATAGCGAAAGTCCCTATCGTGCGTTGCATTTGCTGCATGTTTTTGTTGAGTCATCATCACGCGTGCAGTGTCACTGGATAAGCTACTAACAGCAGTAGTTATTAGTGGTATGGACACTAACAGAACACTGAGTGAGGTGCCTGCGCTTTGGGTTCCACCTGGCGGCGCTGACGTCAGTTCGACGTGCTTGCGGCATCGCCGGCAGCTTTTGGAGCTTTCAGAAGCAGCAGCAGCAGCAAGCCTTCCACAAAAATGAGGTGACTGGGCGACCTGGCGAACGAGATGCCGGCGGGAGCGAACGGAGCGCGCTAGGGGCTACTGCGGCCTTTGTTTTCTCCACTCCGGCGACTGCATCGTGAGAGAGTCTGTATCTTACCCAACATTCCTCTCCCGACATCCTTGGCACGTTGTTGCGGCAATATCCCTCTGCCTCGATGAAAACAGCCTGAGACACATCTACAGCCCTGCTGCTGCTTCGGTTCTCCTACTTTCTCATCTTTATCACCACCTATCACCGACACTCTACAAAGAGAGCATCCCTTAATTACCCCTCACCATGTCTACAGAAACCGTCGACGTCGTGATAGACTCCCTTATCGCCGCCGGCGTCAAGCACATCTTTGGCGTCCCCGGCGCCAAGATCGACTCCGTCTTCAACGCCCTCATCGACCGCCCCGAGATCAAGCTCGTCGTCTGCCGCCATGAGCAGAATGCCGCCTTTATCGCCGGCGCCATCGGCAGGATCACAGGCCGCCCGGGAGTCTGCATAGCCACCTCAGGCCCGGGAACCAGCAACCTCGTCACCGGACTCGTCACCGCCAACGACGAGGGCGCGCCTGTCGTGGCCATTGTCGGGGACGTCAAGCGTGTGCAGGCCGCCAAGAAGACGCACCAGAGCCTGCGCGGCGTCCAGCTGCTCCAGCCCGTCACCAAGAAGGCCACCGGCGCCGTGCACCCCGACCAGATCGCTGAGATCATGCTGGACGCCTTCCGCACTGCAGCAGCCTACCCGCAAGGCGCGACTGCAGTGAGCCTTCCCATCGATATCATGACCGCGGGCACCAAGACGGCCATTCCTGCGCTACCTGAGACGGCTTTCGTCCCGCCCGAGTATGGCACTTCACCGTCTGCATCGCTGAGCAGAGCGGCGTCCATGATCCAGAACGCAAAGTTTCCCGTTTTGTTCCTCGGGGCGAGGGCAGCTACGCCCGAAGCTGTTGAGGCGGTTCACGGCTTCCTTCGAAAGCACCCTATTCCTGTTGTCGAGACTTTCCAGGCCGCGGGATCCATCAGCAAGGAGCTGGCACATCTCTTCTATGGACGCATCGGCCTATTCCGTAACCAGCCCGGCGACAAGCTTCTCTCTCAAGCCGACCTGGTCATCGTCGCTGGCTATGATCAGTCCGAGTACGACGCCGACGCCTGGCACAAGAACAAGGATCTCGACATCCTTCACCTGGACTGGATCCCAGCCGACTACGGCGCCTTCTACAACCCAAGTCTCGAGCTGGTGGGTTCCATCGCAGCCAACATCAAGGCGCTCCAGAACATCCTCGCAACCGTCTCCAGACCACAGGAGCTCGACGTCTCCAAAGAGATCTTTGCCGAGTTCCACGCGTGGGAGCAGAGCCCCCAGGCTCTGGGCCAGACCGGCGACGGCCCCGTCCACCCGCTCCACTTCATCAAGCTCATGCAGGGTCTGCTCCCGCCATCGCCGACCGTCGCCTCGGACGTCGGCAGCATGTACATCTGGCTCTCGCGCTTCTACTTCGCCTACAGCCCAAAGTCCTTCCTCGTCTCCAACGTCCAGCAGACCCTCGGCGTCGCCCTCCCCTGGGCCATCGGCGCCTCCCTCGCCCAGGAGCCCCCGTGCTCCCGCAAGGTCGTCAGCATCAGCGGCGACGGGGGCTTCCTCTACTCCGGCCAGGAGCTCGTCACCGCCGTCCAGCAGGGCTGCAACATCACGCACTTCGTCTGGAACGACGGAAAGTATAACATGGTCGAGTTTCAGGAGGTCGACAAGTACGGCCGCAGCTCGGGCGTCGACCTCGGCGGCGTCGACTTTGTGCGCTACGCCGAGGCCTTCGGGGCCAAGGGCTTGCGCGTCACCCGCTCGTCGGAGCTGGAGGGCGTGATGCGCGAGGCCCTGAGCCACGTGGGAGTGTGCGTCGTGGACGTCGAGATTGACTACTCGCACAACCACGAGCTGATGAAGAATGTCATCCAGGACTCTATCAGTTAGACTTTCAAGTTTTTTGTCGGACGGTTGGGCGTTTTCTTGCGTAATACTTGGGCGAAAGGGTCTGTGGTTTAGAAAACGTTTGCTTTGCGCGCCAAGGGCACGGGATTGTATCATTAAGAATGCCAAGAAAAGCTTGTGTTGTTGCTCTCTGACCCAGAGTAGGAGTGAGCGTCGTTGAGGATGTACTTCGGTCGTCTGATGAGGGCTCAGATGATTGGATGAGAGAAACGGTTCCTGACCACGTTGAAGGTTGTGTTAGTCTGTGCTGGCTCGGTCTCGGAAAACAGAAGCAATTCAGAGGCGTGAATATCATCAGATCATTCGAACAAAGAGGTAGCTGGAACTAGCACTGCCAAGTTTGTCGGGCTGGAGGAGGAGTTGGGCTCTCATTTGCGATCTTTCATAATCTAATAGGCTTCAAGAGTATCTAGGCTGGCAACTAACAAGACAATTACACCTTCCTCCCTTTCACTCTTTCGATGAGCTCCCTCACAACCTCGGGCTCAGTCGGTCCAACCCACGGCTCCGACCAATACTGCCGCAGCAGCGCAAGCCCCATACACAACCCCGGATCCGCCCCCTTTTCCAACAGCCACTCCGCAAATTCTCAGTCCTGTCCCGCACACGACCGCGCAAACGCCGTTGTCTCGTAGGAATCCCCGCGCTGGCGGTCCAAGATGTCGCAGTACAGTAACCGTCTCACGTCATCAACCCCCGCGGCGCCGGACTCGAGGATGTGTGCCGCCATCGCCCGCCGGCGCGGAAGAAACGGCGTCGAAGCGAAGCTGTGCGCGTCAAGCCAGCTGCCGCGCAGGTCTGGCGGCATGATTTGGCACGAGACGATGCTGTGCAGCGGGCTGGCGAAGGACGGGTCGGCGCCGTGGGAGAGGAGGAGGTTGAAGAGTTGCGTGTCGCCGAGCCGCGCGGCGCTGTTGAGCGCGTCGCCTCCGTGGCGGTTCAGCGGGGGCTCTTCGCCGTCTGGGCTGCGGGAGTGAGCGGCGATGTTGGGGTCCGCGCCGTGCTGGAGGAGGAGCTCGACGAGGGGCGTGTTGGTGATGCAGCCTTCGTACGGCAGCGGCGTTTTGCACTCGTTGGAGGTCGCGCGGCGCCACGCCTGGTTTGGGTGCCAGCCAAAGTCGAGGAAGACGCGGATCAGGGGGATGAGGGTGTCTTCTCCGCCGGTCTGTGTTCTGTCGAAGATGGAGACGTCTGCGAGGTAGGATCTGTCTTTGGTCTTGACGCGACGGGCGCGGCTGAAGACGTTGCCGTGGAGGGATGTGCCGCGCTCTAGCAGGTACCGCGCGACGGCTGGCTGGTTCCCGAACGAGGCCTGCTCTAGGCCGTGCTGGAGGACCGCTTGGCTTGGAGTGGAGGTTCTCTGGATGAAGGAGGCGACTTCCTCGACGGAGCCGTCCTCGCAGGCTACATAGAAGCGGACTTCTTCGTCAGCGAGGCTGATGAGATCGGCGATGAGAGAATACTCTGGGCGTGTGAGTGTTGGAGGCAGCGGAGGGAGATGCGCGAATCGGGCTGCCTCGGAAAGGTTGCGTCTGGTCTTACGATCATCGATGGGGTGGGTGTTCTGATAGAGAGCTTCGTTTACCGCCTTGAGGAGTTGGATTCGCTCCTTCATCAGCCGGATTTGTTCTGCGTGAGCCGACGGCGGAGAGTCAGGCAGGGTGGGTTTCATAGCGAGAAGTTTATGGGGCTTGTTCTCAAAAGAAAAAAAGAAGTTGAAAAGAAAGACCGGCGAAGGATTTCCCGATTCGATGGATCGTGGCGAGCTGAGAGAAACGCGGATATGGTGGGAGGTCAAGGTGAATAGGTGAATGGGTGAACAGGCATCAATCGCGGAAAACGACGCCTGGTACTCAACTCGTCAAGGCGACTATTTCCGGCCAACAAATACATTTACTCTAAAGATGTAGCTTCACGTGACAAATCTCTTGTATGGTTGTGTGGTTCTGCTTGTTGGGCCAAAGTGCGGTGTTGGTTGGAACCCCGTGAACACCGCCGAAACCCCAACATCATGACAGCAAGTCCATCGGTCCCGCCATGTAATGGCATCAGTCTCGGGACAGACGATGAATTTTTAACAGTCATATATGCTAAAGTTCAATACATGTTTGTGGTTCATGGCCTCATGGGGCTACGGTCAAAGCCCGCTCAAACTCTCCTTGCACAGTACGCCCAAAGGCTTCAACAGCCGTCTCCAACGCGGCCTCGGGAGCCGCTACAAACGTCAACCGAAGGGAGGCTTCTCTCACGTCCTCCGTCTCCGCCGCGAACCAGCTACCCTTCGTCACCAAAACCCCATTCACACTGGACTTCTTGTAAATCCTATCCTCGATATCGAGGATAGCAGCCGATTCAAGGGACTCCAATGGCTTTACCGCAGGATGCTTCGACCCATCCAGCCGTACCAACAAGAACATGCCAAACGTGGGGACAGTCCAACTGCAGACATCCCGCGGAAGATGCTCCTCACAAGCCTCAACGAGAAGGTTGCGTCGGCGGCTGTACTCCAGAGAGATGTGGCTCAGCCAGTCAAAGAATCCCCGATGTCCCCACGACTCGGCAAGGAGCTTGTACATCATGACTTGGGACGGTCCCGCTGGGAAAGCAGAGCTGATCTCCGTGTTGGCCACGAAGATGCGGACTATCTCGGCGCTGGCGGTGAGCCAGCCAATACGGAGTCCCGGGGCTAGGATCTTGGAGGTCGAGTCGAGGCGGATGACGCGGCCTGTTCTGTCGAGGGATAGATACGAAGCGGGCAGGTTTTCCAAGTACTTCTCGGCGGAGAGCTGAGCGTTGGAGTCGTTCTCGAGTTGTAGGTAGAAGTACGGGTCGTCTTCGATGATCAGGAGATCGTGCTTCTCGGCGACTTCGTATATGGCTCTACGGCGCTCGGTGGGCTGCGTCACGCCGGTGGGATTGTGGCCGGAAGGGATCGTGTACAAGACGAACGGTTTCGGTGCCCTGGCCTCGTCCCAAGTGCTCAAGACTCTGTCGAGTTCCGCGGGTATAAGGCCCTCTGTGTCCATGGTGATTCCGACAGGATTGAACTTCTGCGCTTCCGCAATCTCAATAGTAGGCGGGTAGGTCAGACTTTCAAAGAGTACTGAGTCGCCGGGCTTGACGAACATGCGGAAGATAATGTCAAGAGCAGAAGTTGTCCCGCAAGTCAGACAAGTTCGCCAGTCTTCATACTGAGGCTTGTGGATCAGGTCAACATGCTCAGTAACGAAGCGAATCAGCTGAGCATGCCCAGCTGCATCGCCGTAGTTCAGAGCCTTAGACAGGTCAAAGCCCTTGTCTCCCACAGAGCAAGATGCGGGTGTAGTGTCATCTCCAAAAGCACCGTCACCCTGATGCCTCTTCCCATGAGCAACGAGCGAGTCCCAGGGGAAGTACTTCGGATTCGGCCGTCCGGTTCCCAAGCTGATCATGTTAGATGACTTGAGTGTAGCTGCCGCCGCCTTGAGTTTGGACGGCATACGGGCCTCGAGACGATGGCTCCATGACTGGGCTTTCGGCTTTGCCTCTGTCTCCGTGGCGTGTGGCTTGAGGATGTCGGGATTGCTTGCCGCTGCGGAAGTTGAGGCTTGAACTTGGGGTAGAGCCCGAGCTTGGTCTAAGCTGGCTAGCGTTTGGAGAAGCATTGTTGAGCCGAAGTTGCAGGGTTGAGCCGAAGTTTGCCGATGGCGGTGCGCCTTGACAAAACTCCTGCCATGTCTCAAGGTTTCAACCATCTATTTATTCATCATGCAACTACAGGCTGCAGTTCAACACTCCGAAATTCGGCATCGATCACGCAATTGTCGTGATAGGAGAATACGGCGTGGTTGGACTCTCCGGCGTCGCCCATCGGAGTATCGGAGAGAGTATCGGCGAGGCCCCACTATTACCGGCGTGTCGGAGTAGCGGCACATGAAGAGGGGGTCTTGCATGATGATGATAAAGCAGCTCAGCTATTCAACAGAGTAAAGACGGATAAACGCAGCACATAAAGCAAGAAACCCAGACGCATTATTGAAAGAAAGAAACACCAGTAACACAGCATCAAGTCAGAATGGGTTCCGTCAAGGACAGCAGTGCCCCCACTATCAAGTTGGCCGAATACCTCTTCACCCGCTTGCGCCAGCTAGGGATAGACTCGGTCCACGGAGTCCCTGGCGACTTCAATCTCCACCTGCTCGACTATGTCAAGCCGTCCGGGCTCCACTGGGTCGGCAACGCCAACGAGCTGAACGCCGGCTACGCGGCCGATGGGTACGCCCGTATCAAGGGTATCGGAGCTCTTATTACAACCTCCGGCGTCGGAGAGCTCTCGGCCATCAATGCAATTGCCGGAGCGTATGCTGAGCGCGCCGGTGTCGTTCACATTGTCGGGACCCCATCACGGCATCTGCAGGACAACAGAGTCATGCTCCATCATGGTTTCAACGATGGAGAGTACAGACGGTTTGCGCAGATGCATTCCCATGTCACCGTTGCGCAAGCCAGCTTACGCTCTGCGAATGAAGCTCCCGGTCAAATTGACGAGGTTCTGAGGCAGTGCCTGGTGCAAAGCCGGCCGGTTTACATCGAGGTGCCTCAGGATCTGGTCTCCGTGCCCGTCTCTGCTCAGAATCTCGAGGCTCCCGTCTGGACACCCAACTACAAGCCCACATCTGCAGATGAAGCTGCTCTGGCAGCCATTTTGGACAGGGCATCTTCTGCAAAAAAGCCCTTGATACTCGTGGACGGCGAGATAAGACCCCTCGGAATCGTCGAAGACGTTGAGAAGATTGTTGCGTCTACCGGCTGGCCCACGTGGACAACCCCTCTCGGCAAGTCCTTGATCGATGAGACGCTGCCCAACTTCCACGGCATCTACAAGGGCAAACATGCCAATTCGACTGAGAAAGAGCTCTTCGACAGCTCTGATCTCATCTTGTACTTCGGCCCACACCTCAGCTCGACAAACACCAACCATTTTTCCATGATCCCCAGACCTGAAACTTCTATCCTCTTCACCGATACCGAGGTCAAGATCGGAACCCAGGTCTTTCGAGATGTTACAGCAAGGGCCGTTGTCCGTGCCCTATCTCAACAATTGAAGACTTCCAAGATCCATCGCTATGACGTCTACCCAGAGCTGCCGAAGGACTTCAAGATCTCTTTTGCGGACATTCCGCGCGACGGCAAAATCGACCAGTCCAAGATCTGGCATCTTCTGGCCAACGTCATTCGACCGGGAGATGTCGTCCTCGGGGAAACGGGGACATCCGGGCATGGAAGCCGGGTCTTCCCCATGCCGCAGCATTCCAGGCTCTTCCTTCCTTCTACTTGGCTGTCTATCGGTTACATGCTCCCAGCGGCGCAGGGCGCAGCATTAGCCCAACGGGAGCTCATCCAGTCATCCAAGTACAACCACATCGGAAAAGCCCAAACGATCCTCTTCATCGGTGATGGTAGCTTTCAGATGACGGTGCAAGAGCTTTCAAGCATCATCCGCAACAACCTAGATGTGATCGTCTTCCTAATCAATAATGACGGCTACACCATCGAGAGATGCATCCATGGTCTCGAGGAGGGATACAACGATGTTGCACGTTGGCGATATCTTGAAGCCCCAAGCTTCTTTGGCGCAAGCCAGGATAGTTACGTACGCTCTGCCAAGATGTGGGGAGAGCTTGAAGACATCCTGGGCGATGACAAGCTGGTAAATGGAAAGGGATTGAGAATGGTGGAAATTTTCATGGATGTCGACGATGCACCGGAGGGAGCTTTATTAGATCTTATGAATGCAGAGAAAAAGAGACTGCAGACCATGTAATGTAGAATCCCTTTGATATTCAAGATATTCGTCGTCTCCAATGGTCGTGTTAGTGTGCTTCGCGCCCGGCATCGGCTCACCCCTGCGCTTTCAGACAGCGCAGAGCTCAACGACTGGCTTTCAACTCCATCAACTGTGCACGCATCTTGCCGCCATCTTCTTTCTTTTCCTCTGATTTTTCAGACTAAAATAACAATCGAAACAAACGCCAGAGTCCCCTCGGCCAGCGACTTCAGAGTCCCACTTTCTCCCACGAGCGCCTAACAAATGAGAATCCCCAGGTTTCGCTAAGCGCCCTGTCCCAGGGCGGCAAAGCACAAACGATTGGGGGTTGACTGACAGGCAGTCAGACGCCTGTCCCCGCCCTACGAAGACCCCTGCAGGCGGTTTCAGCCCTGCTGGAGTCGGTTTGATTGGCTGTGGAATTCCCATCATGAGATCCGGCCAGGGCCAGCGATCAAGGGTCCGGCTTGCCTTTGGCGTCAGTCGGATGCGACTCAGCCCTTTTGTCTCGTCAACGATGAGTGTCTTCATGTCTTCTCTTTGTCTGACGGGGATGGTTATAAGAAACTGTTCACGGCCGTCCCAACGTCCTGAACATGGTCACTCTGAATCAGTCCTCACCTCAGCATCACTGCAATTTTATGTCTGCGTTTTCCTTGAGTCTTTCTTTCTGCATCACAGCAAGACTTTCTTTCTTTGCATACTGCTAGACAGTTTTAAATTCTTCTCAGTCTCGCATCACCATCGCAGTTGAGACTTGAAACGCATATCGCATCAATAGCCCTCTTCAGCATAGAAGGAATCCATCTCTTTTTTCATTTTACAATCTTTGCATTTACAAGATACCCCCCAAGACCTTCACCAAAATGGGTCAATTCTCAAACGCCATCAAAGCCGGCCAGACCGTCATCGAACTCGGCCGCAACGCCCAAGGCCTCGCCGGCGCCGCCAACGAATTCCGCACCGCAGACAAGGGCGAGATGGGCCGCAACGTCGGCCGCGCCGCCTTCAACGAGGGCGCCGACACCGGCAAGACGATGGGCAAGACGTGGCTCAAGACTTTCGAGGTCATCCCGCGCCTAGTGTGCCGCGGCCTGCAGTTCCTCTTCGCCCTGATCGCCTGCGGCTTCTACGGCAACCGCGTACAAGCCGATGACAGGGCCGACAACGGCTTCTCCCCTGAGTGGATTCTCGCCATCACCGTCGCCGGCGCAGCTGCTGTCTCGTCGGTGCTTTTCGTCCTCGCGACACCTCTCAGCGCGATTCCCTTTATCGGTAGCAGGGTCAAGCTGTTCAAGACATACCGCGCCTTCGCCTGGGACTTGTTTCTCTTCATCATGTGGATTGTGGTGTTTGGAATCTTTGCGGGCATCTTCCTCAAGAGGAGCAGCGATGACAAGTACAAGGGTGCCAGCACCACGGCGATGAAGACTGCCGTTTGGGTGGATCTCGTCAATGCCATTCTCTGGCTCATCTCTGGCGTTTATGGGTGCATCAAGACTTTCCTGGGAGACAAGGTTGATCACCTGTCGGACAAGGCTGGAAAGAAGCTGTTTGAGAAGAAGAAGCCGGCGCCGGCCAAGGATGGGTACGCTGAGAGCGTGTGAAGAGCGCAAGCCTTTCGTTTTCATTATGTAAATTAGATAATTCCGTTTGGTTTTCGGTTTGTCAGGCGTCGAAGACGGCATCAGGAAGCTAATATTTGGCGCAACGGCCATGGGACTCACGGGACATACGTATTTCCAGATCAACAAATGAGCAAGCCAAATATGCTTGCATTGCTTCACTCGTCTTGCCACCAGTAACTATTTCACAGATTTCATTGCCTGATTGTTGAACACCCAAGGCTCAGTTTGCTTTCTCGATAATCTATGAGCATTCAGATTGGCACGCAATGTAGGTCTCCGTTTATGCAGTCGGCAAATCTCGACATCACCAAGCTCTTGATACCAAATTTCATGGCCCTTTTGAATGAGCAATTGTTTCTTTACTGTCGGTTGGATCCCGCACGTTTCTATAGAAGCTTATGTTCAAGCAATTATCTACAATCAGACGTGAAGGATACCCAATTGTCGCATACGGCTTCGTTTGGCATTTTGTCGGTTATTTACCTTCCCTTATGCAACAGACCAGTGGTCGAGATGGCCATAAATGGACGAAACTAGAAAGCCATTCTACAGGTATTTAGGGGCGCCATGTTCCTGGTAATTGGCTTTTCAACGCTAAGCACATGTTGTCAACTTAGTGTCTGCGGGAACAGCATGAAATTTCAAAACCCTGTGCCAAGCTCGAAATCATGATAATTAAAAACTACAGATACTAAGCTGAAGGGTCTAAGAATAAGAAATGTCTAAATGGGCATGGCCCGCATGTCTCGAACTGATATCTGCCATCTTGCTACAAGTCAACATAATCATCGGGGATGACAATTGTGTTTCTAATGTGAAGACTCCCTTGTTCTTTCGTCATCCGTCAACGGGAAGTCAATGCTAGTCAGAAGAAAAACTCGATTATCTGCCTCATTGGCTCAATCTACTAAATTCCTTACCCGTGTCATCAAAGCAATTATGGTGAAATTTAGGGGTTACTTCCATGGGAGTATCGCGGTCAACAAAGATATCAGATCACGTCGGAATTGTGTTCTCAGGCCTCTGTAAATATCTTGTCAGTGTCTTCAATCGAGTCTAACTCCTTGTCATAGAAGTTGTGTCGGGGGCGGACTAACTTCTCTGACATCCAGCAATATGAGCCGAAGTTGATAATCTGGGCATAGGTGTGCAGTAAACATCGCATACTGTATCCAAGAAGCAATTGCAAAAGAACCAACTAGTAGACTATTTGTCTCCACTGCCGAAAGCTGTCTAGCGGATTGAAGAATATTGATGGCTGCTTGTAAGGTGATCGGTGCGGTCGGACAAAAGCTCTTCGACAGTAAAAGCATGATTGCAGAATGACCGCTGCACTTTCGAACAGGGCATCCTCTAAATAAATTGAAATTTGATGTACCAGAGCTCGAACCTGTCCCTACTTTTCTGAATTCTTCGTAGCTTAGAACACCATGCAACTGGTCGTTCGGCTTGCGCGAATTCGCTCCCTCCACGCACATGGTCAAAAGTGAAACGCCGATTTTGACTACGAAATCCAGATAGTCCGCTTGACAGCTTCTTGCAACCAGAGAGGTTTTTCGTCGCTGATTGTGACGTTGTCGAGGGGTGTGCCTTCAGTGTCCGTGTAGATTATGGCTGGATCACAGTTCCCAGAATTCCCGGCCGTGGCCGCGCGAGTCAAATTCCAGCTATGAACCCTGACAAGACCAACTCTCTCATGGTGATCCCCGCTCTTCCGTAGAAGTAGAATGGAGTATCTCTTTTGTTGCTTTGTTTGGAAAACAAGTCCTAAAAGTCCAGCTTCCAGAGGTACGTTGTCGTAATCCATGTACGCGTAACACCAAGCCGTGAGGCCTTCACGGATTGGGAGGACAGCATAGTCTCCACCAGCAAAGGTCATGCCCACTATCTGGCTCTTAACCCCGCTCTTCTCGTTGAGACCTATCCAGCTTTTTCTAGCGAAGTTGACCCAGACTGTCACGGCAGAGATGCCTAGCACTCGAGGAGCATATTTGATCTCTGAGGTGGCGCTTTGCTCCTGCCCGCAGAACCAGTTCTGTAGCGGAATTGTAGAACCGTCTTCTTTCTTGATCTCGATCTCTTGATCGTCTGAGCTGCAGAAATCAGGCTCGCTCATTTGAATGCCACCTACCCAGCCAGCCCAGCTCCAGCTTGGAAATGGCAGATTCCTCAAAGCAACTTTCTGATGGTGCCAGGCAAGAGAGAAGATGTATCGAGACCGATTCATTGCGTCAATCCGTCGAAAAGGTATTCCATAATATTGTCTAATCATGCTGGTTTCCAGAGCACGAAAAAGTCCCCGTGCCGCGTCGATAGTGTCTGACCTTTTGGTCAATTGACGCTTTGTATAGTTCGGCAGCTGCTTCTGCTTGAGCTGATTCCACCGCAATTCTATTAGTTCGCCAGAGACTCCGTGTAAGCTTGACTGGCTGGGTATGAGTTCCAGGAAGTTGGAGGCGGTGACTGTCTTCGTAAGTCTAGAGTATGATAATGGTTTCTTCACAGTCTCGGCATGGTCCATCGTGTTGCACAGGTAGAAAACCTCGTGCTCAGTGAAAATCAACCTTCTGGTGGACAGAAAGCACTCTTGATAGGTCCAACCCCGCGATGCCCATGTCGACCGAAATGTTTGAGCTGATGTGTGTGGTAGCATCCTGATAATGGCGATACTGTTGAGAACGATTCGTTGCAGTGGCCGACGTGGTCTTGATCTGATTCCCGGTAAACCATACGAGGCGTCGGCACCAGCCGCAGCTATTAGCGTCAGATGCGCGCGAGAATAAATATGATTCATCTGAGCAACCTGCGCCCTTTTAATTGTCTCGTCTTCCTGGTCAATACACTATTGATACCATTAGTTCAACCGTTGGGGCTCTGACACAGAATTCAAGATTGCACATGTGTATAATGTCTTACCAACTGATCAACCCATAGATATCGCTCATTGAGTGACCGTGTCACCTGAATCGCATCGTGGACCACTTGAGGGAAATCGGTGTCTTTTCCTTCTTCTTTGGGTACAGCAGTGTTTCCCCATACGTATGACAGAGCGACGTATTTGCAATTCTCAGGCGCATCGATGGCCCCTTTCGAATTGGGATTGAAGCAGTCAATGACCTTCAATCCTTGCGCCTGACGGCTGCTACCGGCAGCGAATCTGCAGTCATCGCGGTGTTGCGTCGTGCAATGATTGAGCCAGCTCCTGACAAGATCGAAGTCGACGAATGAAGAGATCTGCCTCGGCCCGATCTCAAGCGACCTTTCCTGATCCCCTGCTTTCACAACAGCTAAGCAACCTCCATCCTGCCAATCCGTGTCAGTCTTTCTCCCCTCTGTCCCTTCTTCAAATTTAATCTTGGGCACAGGAAAAAGCACCGTGCAGTCAATAATCCGCTTTCGTTCAGCTGGAACTTTCTTTGAGCGGTATGGCCCCAGAACTGTGAGCGAGGACGACAATGCCTGGAGCAGGCAGTCCTCGCCGTTGAGATGCCGGGGTGTCACCAGAGCCACCATCCGGCAGATATCACAGGAAGACTGATCGAGAGTATCGCGATCCATATCGGGAAAACTTGCCACCTTCTTTCCTCTATCTTTTGATGGCCGCCATGAAGCGATGTGGTTCCAGTCAATTTCACGACATCGTTGACAGAGAACCACCTTCACCTCCCCGGAGCTAGTCTGAAACGGCCGTTTTCTTGCCGAAGCGGAATCCTCATCTGCAACTCCTCTCCGTTTCTGAACGGTGCGTACTGGCTCAGGATCTCCCATTGGTAAAGTAAAGTTGATGAGTGATAGACTTGCTGTCGCACGCAGCAGTACGATTTTCTCTGAAGCATTGACGGCAAAGAAATGATGATGTCTTCTGCCACTCTATGAGAACGCGCGATCCGCGTCCTTCCGTACACTTATGTGTTTTCTCTTGTAAGAACACAGACACGTGGCAGTGAGTGATACGAGACTGGTGGAAATGCAGATGATGATTATTGGTTGCAAAACGCAGGTTTCCAACGGGGGATCGACAGCTTTGCACAAGCAATGTCCAATCGGATAATGTGATCGGCAGGTAAATACTCCAAATCTAGTACAAACGAATTATTTACGATCTGATGGATCAGCTTCTCCGCTCTAATTTGTCCTGCCGATATTGATCAGTCAAGGCACTGCTGCACACGATGTTGCCCAAAATTCTGATACTCTGACATTTCTTCACGCATTGATTTCAGCTGCTCTTGGAAAGTCCCATGGGTTTATTGGTGTCATTCATAAATAAATCACACCTGTTTCAATACGACTTGATACTCATCAGGTCGAATATATATTTACCTTTCCAGCCCACGAGTTGTCTCGCGGTCATCCTATTTCCTCTCACATAATTTGAGATTTCCCCCATCGACTCATATCGACTACGTTCTCATTTCTCTTTTCTCTAAAAGCTCTTTGAGGGGTTAGCCTAGACTCTGGTTCACTCAGGCGTCGAGTTCGCCTCTCGAACTCCTCTGTGTCGGTGTTGACAGAGTCGGGTACGATCTCTTGTTAGTACCAACTCCAAGGTTTCCGATTCAGTAGGCTCGCTTGGATATTCTTTTACGTGAGCCCTGCGGCTACTGCCAGCAATATTACCATAGACACTAAACTTTGCTTGGATGTTTAGCTGCTCAAGAGCCAGGAAGGATGCTTTGTTGGAGCCACAGACAGAACCAGAGATTGCAAGATTATCAGCAATAGGAGAAGTATTAACCTACACTAGTACGACTTGCCAGGAGTGTCCATGGAGACATTGTGATTTTTGGACTCGATGAAAAAGGGGTTGTGTCTGATACGGCGCCACTTCGATGCGCAGGCAGCCTATCATCGTCTCTCGTCTAAGGGGAGCTTCCCTCAGATTTGTGAAAAGGGGATGGCTATATGGGAGCAGAATGAAAATTGTGAGGTACCAAGGTTGGTCTTGTCTCCGGTTGGCAACCTGGCCAACTCTTTTGCCTGTCCATTTCGCAGCGCGAACCAGCCTACGAGAGGTTGCTCATCGCTACGTAAGTCTTGCGAGATTTATCTTGAGCGAATGAAGTTTCGTGCTGTTCTATGTATTCAGGGAGAGAATGAAAGCAAATCGGACAGCAAGCCCTGTCGGTCGAGCAACGTTGATTAGCGTTCGGCATAAGCCAGACTAGAGCGCTTCTAGAGCCACGTTGCTGACTGCAGCATCCAGGGGTCTAGTAGACTAAGTGAGGAGCTTTGTTCCAACCACAAATGGCAGCGAAAGCCGTGCCCATCATCGTATCTTGTCAGACTTGCCTCGGGATGCTTTCTGAGCCTCGGTGCCAATGAAAAACGGCAACTAAACCTTACCCTACCCCAACCCTGGCATACGAATTACTTTGAGAACGTGGACGAAGAAAGTTTGAATTCTTTCATCGTCTCAACTGTGTACAGTGATATTATGGGACCTGCTTAAAGCCCGGCAAGAGGCGATCACAGCAGTCGACTTCAAGAGGATTACTATGGCTTCTTAACTCGAGGTTTCTTTTTACTTCATGACGTTATTTCTGGTGGCATTTGGTTTTCATAGGAACCAACAACCCGCTCTTCTAGTCATGGGCGTATCTTGGAGAGAAAGTAGGAAGCTATATGGAGCCCGAAGTGGTCCTATAGACACGACAGCCTCAACATATCTTTTAATCAATACTGAGCATGTTTACAACCTTAGCTTCATCGAGGGGAACTATGTCAAAGGCATTAAAGTGGATTCGCTCAGTCGAAGATATGTTACCTCGCAAAATAAATGTTAAGTTCCCTCAACCCCCAATGTGTTCGAGCTTCACCAATCGGGGGTTGGATCACCGTCTCGAAGAATAAGCGCACGAAGGCTACGGGGACCACGATACCATCCGTTGAATTTGAAAGAAGGAGAAAAGAGAAGGATTTTAAACCAGCCACAAGTCGATCTACAACCTCGAGATATTTTCATGTAGTTATTTGTTGACTTTAGCTTGGGCTCTGGCGTGCTAGGCGATCCCGTGTAGGAGGGTTCTCATAGCGACTAGACATTACTTTAAGCTCTAAATTGATCTCCATAGCTGTTGAACCGAAGAGGTCCGCTTCGACTACAACCGACCAGAGGTCACGGCTCCTAGTCATCGTCGATGGTTCCGCCTAAGCCGTAGCATTCGCAGGGGCGGAGAGACTTATCCGGGCCCTCGGCGCCCTGGGCCGCTTCAACCTTTGGCCGAGACCTCAAGAATCTGAATATGCGAAGGTCTTGTGGCCTCTCTATCGCGATTCCATCTTGACCAATGAATCACCGTCTCTTTGTGTTGCAGAACATGTGTCCGACCTTCGTCCACAAGCAAACCACATGCCCCGTCCCCATGACCAACCTCAACGGCAACACAAACCTGAACACCACACTTTGACAAGCAAACTACACCTCCTTCATCCATCCCATGAACGGGAAACAAACAGGAACCACGCAAACGTACGCCATCGCCGTTGTCCAAACGGCCATCCACCTCGCTCACGCCGGCCCCAGTTCCATCCCATCTCCCCGGAACAAACTCCCCGCTCGCATACCCGCTCCGTCGGAGGTGTCAACCCGCAAGCAAGGTCCCATCATCCTCATCAGCATCAAACTTCAGACCTTTCAACTCGGCACGAACCGAAAGCCAGCCATACGTACGTAGCCCGGATCTTTCCACGCGTTCGGCCACGCAAGAACAATACGCGGATCATCAGCCTGAAGAAGAACGATATTCAAAACTGCCGTTCGAGTGTACAAGATCGCCACGCTGCTCAAACGTCGCACCTCGTGTATGCGTCACGTAGCAGACGCAGCACATACACACACGCACACATATCACCAATGCGCCGCGCAACCAGCACCTTCGCAGAAGACGGCGTGGCCATCATACTTGAGTTACGGAAACATGAAGGAACATCGCAGTAAAGCCGTTGGAGCAAGAAGATCTCAGTCGGGTCTAACCCAGGCCTTCTGCCGCGGACCACTGACTCGGCGGGCCAAAACGGCCCGCCTCAACAAGCATCCTCCATCTTCACTGCCGCGCTCGCGTCTTTCTGCCCGTCGCATTGCGCGAGTGCGAAAAGATCAAACATCACATTGTCGGGGACGATAGCGATAGCGATCAAACAACTGTCCAAGAGAACAGATAGTCGGCATTTCATCCAATCCTCGGATATACACAACCCAAGTTTCAAAGTCGGAACATGCCCGTTCTACAACACAAATGCGATATGCGATATGGATGGCGATATGGGCCGCTTTGTATGCACGATCGCGCCAGGGTCGAAACTCCCCAGCACGAACGATATCGCCCTGCCTGTTATCGCCCTTCATCCCATATCTGTATCTTGCCCCCCTCCCTCCCCGGTCCCACGCGCGCGTGCGCCGTAGCAAATGTAACGCAAGGCGTGATAGGTAAACCGCCAGCGCTGCACTCTGGCCGCATTCCGTGATCCGCTGTCTGGATGATATCTTTCACGGTTCCCACAGACCTGGTAACGAGCAAGAGGAGGACGAGGTCCAGACCATGTCAGCTGCGGTCTTCACAAGACACGAACAGAAGTCCAAGGAGGGGCAGGGGGGGAAAGACGGCACGTGGGGGTGGGGGGAAACGCCAGCCTGCTCGTTGAAACCTGCGC